TTATTATTGATAATTTACTTGTCAATTATAAATAAAAAGATAATTATGCCAAAAATAATGCAACGAATTCGAATGTAAAAGCCCTTTGAGGGCAAAACTTCATTTTGATGAAATTATGCCAAATGCACAGACCTGGCCAAATGCCACAATGGAAGAAAAAGTACATCGCCTTATGGACATTTTTGGAGTAAAAAAGTAACGAATTTGGTTTTATAAATATTACATCACACATTATTCACCATTGGACAACATTTACGTTAACAAAAATTTTTTTTTATATAAATTCTTTTCAAAGCGAAGATTATTATCCGCTAGGAGTACTTTCTCTTCTAGGCCGTAAAGCAACCTATATTTAACTACTTTTTTTATATGATTTTACTCATCCAAGCACCACCAAAGCCAAATTAATTGCATTTTTAACTACGAATTTCGACAACTCAACTTGACAACTACAATAATTTATACATAACCACAATTAGATTTATAACTAGCTTAGTTTGTTTTATTCAATGCGACCAACTTGACATGTGTATTTACCAACCAAAACCATAAATTTGCAACGTTGCCGCAGTCCAGATAAAAAAAATACCTGCATTTTAAAATTGGTAAGGAAATAGGTAATTAAAAATATTAAAAATTTATTGTTTTATCAAAAATATTTGACATGTTACATACACCTTATTATCATATATTGTATGTATCTTTGACACAGACTTTGATTTAATATTACAAAAATGCAGAACAGATGATAACTATAGTTGTCACGGCGAATATTTCAAATTGCGTCATAAAATTCTGAACCAAGCACAGACATTACAATTATTGTTGTTGTTTTCTTTTAATTCTTTTTTCGTATGTCGAGAAATCGGTTTTTGACATTTGACATTGATGACGCAATTTGAAACATTCGCCGCGTCGACTATACCTGTTTTTGTGTATTGCGGTTGGAAGCAACATACCTTATATGTATCAACAATGTAGGTACTCACCCAAAGTATAATCGTTGGAGCACATATCCCTTTATCTGTATGCCACACATACTGCACCCAAACGTAAGTGCTGGCAGCGAAGAACAACCAATGCACTGGTATGAAGAAAAAACACAGCATGTCGGAGGTGAGTGCTATGCATACGAAGAAAATCGAGAACGCCAGCCCTTGGTACTTGAAGGAATCGTAGACGGAGCGCAGCAACAGGTAAAACGGCCATAAGAATTCGAAACGAAACTCCAAGATGAAGTCGGCCAATATTACCAGCACCCACACAAGAAAGAACTTCATGTACAAGACGGTGCTATAAAAAGTTTACTTTTATGTTACGTTTATTAAAACATTTACTAAACAATTTTAATGTTTTTTCCACTCCCATACTTTAATTTGTTTATTAGACATTTCTCACCTATTTGATTTGATACAAATTTTTTAATAGGATACAGATTTTTAACCAATAGAAAATGCAATGTCAATATTAACCAATAGAAATGCGATTTACAGCAATATTCTGTCAATATAACTATTGCCTTGGAAATCTGACAGATCTAATATTTATCATTGTGACAAGTTAATGTTTACATAAAACATTTTTAAACTTAAATAAATGAACATACGCGATAGTAAACGTAAAATTAAAAAATTATTATCAGCAAAATCTGCAAAATGGTGAGAAACATTTCAGTTTTCTGCTTTATTATGATAGTCGTAAAAAATAGTGTATGGAACCCGCATTTATTGGGTTCATTATAACATTGCCATTTGCTTATGTTATAATGCTGTTAATGGTCTTAATAGCTATCATTACATTGTCATTGCATAACATACTATTTTGGATTATTTGTTTACATAAAAAAATAGAAAACAATTCTCTAATGACCCTTAAAAAACTTAAAAGTTGCTTACAGCAACAAAGTTATGATGGTTTTTTTGATTTTTTGACACAAATATCAGACAACCATGTGAACCTCAGCAGCCTTACTGACATTTTGTCAAAAAATTAAAATTTTAAATCATTATTAACAACATTTAACTTTTTATTTTTGTAATGCCATCAAAAAATTGTTTTCCATCCTTTTATTTAAATAAAGGGTGTTATTTTTGTTTAAACATAGTTAAAACTGGTTGTTTTTAAACAGGTGTGAATGACATACTGTAAGTATTCAATTAAAATAGTTTTATTAAGTAAATATAAAGGCACGATTAAGTGCCAGAAGTATAAACTGTATAATATCATTTTACCTAATTGTTTATGTTTTCCCAAAACAAACTTTTAATAGCGTAATATTCCCCGATTTAAGATAAAAATAATATTGTTTTGACAGCAGAGATTCTAACCTATCTGTAAAGATTATGAACCAAAATATACTTATTTTAAGCGTATAAATTAAAAGAATTATAATTTTTCTTTTAAATTTCGCGGACAGGGTTAAATTTCGATCAAATAGGCCGCGATTTTAGGCATTTGTTTAGGGAAACCAGCCATTTTGATCCACATATGGGATAAACGCGCTTAGAATGTTCCACCGCGCACCGATTTGCGTACGTTGTGTCACATTCTAACCCGGAAACGCATACCTTCCGTAAATTCCCTCTGTTATTTTGTTCCTCTTGACGGGTCTTCGCATTTTACCGATCTCAGCATTTCGTCTCTTCATAATTTTTCTCGCACACACTTTTAATCAGTTCGAGTACGGCTTCACCACGCGCGATTGCAACAAAAACTACGCGGCGGTCCTCTCATGGATTTTTCTTTTGCCCCGTCAAATCGCTGCTTTTGCGGTAAATTCTCCTTTTGTTGTCAACTGGCGGCGATGCTTCCGGATGGCGCGCAAAGATGGCGCCACCGCAAACGTCAAGGCAACGCAGCTACCGCAGTAGGTCGAATGCACCGCCATGGCCGTGCAGATTATTTTTGAATTAGGGAACGATTTTGCGTTTGTGTAAAAATTATCGAAATTTTCCCAAGGGGTTGAAGTATCCTACACTAAATTTTATTTAAATTAATTAGATGGAACCAAAGATGGAAAATGCTCGAGCATATATTTTTGGAGAACGGAACGAGAAAAAACGAACATTAACGAGAATTTTCTGCATAGCGTTTTTTGTCAATGTTTTTTATTTTTCTTCTTTATTCTCAATATTCTCGAAGATTCTCAATTTTCGCAATATTCTCAAAAAGATTATCAGTTTTCACAATATTTATTGGTGTTAAAATCTCAATAAAAAACATTCCTACTGAGAAGAGAGCCTAAATATTTCTTTATAATATATTTTATTAACTACACAAAATTCGTAAATAAGCAAAGTAGATAAACACAAATAGTATGGTTAAAAATTTTTCGTATTATGCAAAAGGCCCATAACTTTTGTAATATTAAACTAATTTAAAAAAATCTTTTAACAAATCAAAATAAAAACTATTCCTCAGCAAAATATTTAGAAACTCTCTGAAGAATTACATAAAAAAACAACAGCACAAAAGGTCTGTAATTTATAAACAATTTTTTAGAAGCTAAACCTTTAATTATACCCAAAACAACCCTTTATACAATAACATAAGTAAATTTCATCAAGAAGTTTGTTTAATAAGCAAAACAGTAGGGTTCGAAAATTTCTGAATAAGCAAAAGGTCCATAATTTTTTTATTATTAAACCAATATATAAAAAAATTTTGTACCAAAGCAAAATAAAAACTATTCTCCTACAAAAAATTTTTAATTCTCCCGCATAACCTCAAAAACCAAACTTGTTGCAATAGGTTCACAACTTCCCCATTTTGTAACCAATTTTAAAAAACTCGACGTTAAAATAAAGCCTAAATATTCCTTTATAATATATTTCATTAACTTTATCAAAAAATTTGTAAATAAACACTAATAGAAGGGTTAACAAAATTTTGTATTATGCAAAAGGTCCATAACTTTTGTATTATTAAATTAATTAAAAAAAATCTTTTTCCAAATCAAAATAAAAACTATTCCCCAGCAAATTATTTAAAAACCCTCTGAAGAATATTTTTGTTTAACAGAAAATTACCCTTAGCACAAAGGGTCCATAATTTATAACCGATTTTTAAAAACTAAACCTTTAATTATACCCAAAACAACCCTTTATACGATAACAAGAAAATTTCATCAAAAAGTTTATAAATAAAATGTAGGGTTCGAAAATTTCCGTATACGCAAAAGGTTCATAATTTTTTTAATATTAAACCAATTTAAAACAATCTTGTACCAAAGCAAAATAAAAATTATTCTTCGACAAAAAAATTAAAAACCCTCTGGTAAATATTTGTAATTCTCCCCCATAACCTCAAAAACCAACTTGTTTCAAAATTTTGAAACCGATTTAAAAAAACTCGACGTTAAAATAAAGAATAAATATTCCTTCATAATATATTTCATTAACTACATCACAAAATTTGTGAATAGTAAGGTTAAAAACATATTATGCAAAAGGTCCATAACTTTTGTATTAAACTAATTTAAAAAAATCTTTTACCAAATTTAAATAAAAACTATTTCTCGGCAAAATATTTAGAAACCCTTTGAAGAATATATTTTTTTAAAAAGCTTTATTGAATTGTTTCTTTCAACGAAATATCGACGTTTTTTGGTAAACACTGATAAAATAAAACATTATGTGCGTTTTAAATAAATTTATTGAATTTAATTAATTTTAAATCACATGGTATAATTACGGAACCACATAACTAATAATTTAAGGTGAACCAAAACAAAAATATACAAAACCCATAAAAAAAGTAAACCTTATTGAAAAAGCAATAAAAATTGAATGTTGGTGGTTCTTTCATAAATTTATTTAATCATGTATACATTAATCAATAATAAAATAGACTAAAATTTGTATAAGGTACACTTAATTTAAAACTTACTTACGTAGCGTTTAAAAGAAATCCGGGGGTGATTAAGTTGAATACAATTGAATTTATCACATCGAATCGGACTATAGTTCATAAATTAATTAGTTAATTAGAGTAAAAAAGACCTACATGATCCTCTCGTAGAACAGAAGGTATGCTTGCGCACTGAGCACCTTGGTCTCTGGCACTTCCGAGACGTAGGAGTCGCTGATGTAGTACCACCTCCCGGGGGGCACCTGTGGTTCCCCCATCGCCCCTTTTGCCGTCTTATCCTTCTGGTTTTTGGGCAGGAACTGCCACCTGTAGGAATTCTCCTCCAGTTTCGGCCGAACTTTAATATAGGCAACGTAGTGCCCCCCGTGTATGGACCCGCTGTGCTCCACCACCCCATAAAGCGAGTACAAGACCTTGGACTGCCCATACTCGAATGTGGGTAAATTCTGCGACCTTTTGGAGCAAAAAGGCGCCAGATCCAGCAGCGAAGAAAACTTCACGAACTTCGATACTTTGGCGGAACGAAAACGGCACACCTGAAACCGCTTCAGGTGGAGAATCAAGACGGCTGGGGGGTTGTAGATGAGCAGCTGTTTGCTGGCGTCGGTGTAGACGGTTTTTTTATCGGGTCCTCCGTGGCGCTTGGTGCACAGCTCGCAGCCCACCTTGTTGTTTCCCGCCATTAACTCGCATTCGGTGAATTGATTTAAACAGCTCTGCACTGAACACTCCCTTTCTTCGCATTGGTACCGGGGCGAAATAGTGCCGGTCCACATGTTGGCGTCTTCTTCGTCGTCCATTTCTTCCTCCATCTGAAATTTATTTATTTATTTATTTCTTTATATTATTTACATAACTTTTTATAGCCAACAAAACAGTTCTTAACTGGTACCGCTAGTCTATAAAATTTGTTTCCATCCAACTAATCCATTCCATTCCATACATTTTCTTACTAACTTTTTCAAAAAGTACCTCTCTTTATTTTTCTTTCATTACCAGCGTTGCCAACCGTACCATAATTATGGAATTGTACCATAATTTCACTATCTTTTCCATAATTTTTTTAGGCGTACCATAATCAATAATTATACCATAATTTTGCAACTTTGCGTTAATCCTCATTCAACGGCAAAACGATTTTTTCAGTTAATTCTTGTGATTTTAAAAATAAATGTGTAATTTATGTGTTTTTATTTTTTTATACCATTTTTGTTTTGAACAGTTTGCTATTTTGTCTGCTCAAACTGGCTAAATATATTCTTTTTCTATGGGTAGCTTTAAATTTAATGCATTATCAAAATTTGTGTTTTCTAAAATTAATTTAATTAAAACAGATTTGCGCAATAAACTTTGCAGTGAAACTATTAATGGTTTACTGTTAAGTAGCCAATTAACGGAAAAAAATTGCGTTGTATTTGATCCACCATCACCTATGTACAAGCTAATGACTAAAGAAATATATTCTAATAAGAAGACTGATGGTGGTGATATTCAATTCGAAGATCTCATTTAATTAAATTATAAAATTTAATTAAATCTTTTTTTTTTACTTTAAAATCAAAGTTACTGTTAGAAATAATTATTTTTATTTGTTGAAAACATTTAACATTTAGAAATGAAAATGTGGTGTTGTTTTTTTTATATTTTTTCCCTCTATCCATTTAAAAAAAAACTGCATCTTATTTATATTTTAGAAGGTGTACCATAATTTTATAAATTGTACCATAATTTTGAGGGTTGTCTACCATAATTTGTTTTCACATGGTTGGCAACACTGTTCATTACCTTCTCCAAAATATTAATTTGTATTAGAATACAATAAATTTTGACTGGCAACTATTATATGATATAATTAATCCCTCTGAAACGTCTTAAACTTGGACTTGCCTTTTCGTCCTCCTCGACCTCGTTTCCTCCGCACGCGCCCTCCATTTCGTCGTCCTCGTGGCCGAAGAGCGGAACTTTGCTGGAGTCGCCGTCGTTCAGCAGACTTAATTTTTCCAGGTCGACTTTCAGGTCGTTGCTTTTGTTGTTGACGAACGCCAGTCGGGATTCCGGACGTTCGAACTCCTCCGTCACGCTAAAATGTTTCCAAAAAAGAAAATATGCTGTTAAAGACCGTATTTTTGTTAGTAGACCCTGAAAATTTTGTACAAATCAAATGAACAGTAACGAAGATACAGCGCTTCAAAGTCGTCAAAAATTACCATTTTCGGCAAAATAATCAAATTATTTTTGAAGCGCTGTATCTTCGTTACTCTTCGTTTAACTTGTACAAAATTTTCAGGGTATACTAACAAAAGTACGGTCTTTAACAGCATATTTTTTATTTACTTAAAAAAAAATTACTGAAAACTGAAATATAAGTTGAAGAATTTTTATGCAAAATTTCATAAAGAATAATAAAGGCGTTTTAGAGTTAGATTGTTTGTACAGTGGTTCCAAAAAATATGGCCAACACTGTATGTGCAAAAGGTTCATAACTTTTGTATTATTAAACTAATCAAAAAAATCTTTTACCAAATTAAAATAAATACCATTCCTCAGCAAAATGTTTAGAAACCCTCTGGTAAATATTTTTAATTCCCCCGCATAACCTCAAAAACTAAACTTGTTGCGAAAGGTTCATAACTTCCCCATTTTGTAACCGATTATAAAAAATTCGACGTTAAATTAAAGCCTAAATGTTCCTTTATAATATATTTCATTAACTACATCAGAAAATTTGTTGATAAACACTAAAAGTAATGTTAAAAATTTCGTTTTATGCAAAAGGTCCATAACTTTTTTATTATTAAACTAATTCAAACAAATATTGTGTCAAATCGAAATAAAAGTTATTTTCCAACTATATTTTTAAAAACCCTCTGAAGAATATTCTGAATTCCCCCTCACACCTTAAAAAACACGGTTAATGCAAAAAACATAACTTTTAAAAAGTAAACTTTAAATTATAATTCGTAACAATACATGCAAAAGTTGGAAATTAAGCCAAAAAATTAAGGTTGGGAAATTAACGGATGAGCAAAAGGTCCATAACTTTTTTACTATTGGACCAATTTTAGAAAACCTTGTGCCAAATTAAAGCTTAAACGATCCCCCAACAAAATATTAAAAAACCCTCTGAAGAATATTTAAACTTTTCCGGGAAAATCGAAAAACCACGCTTGATGCAAAAGGTCGATAACTGCCCCGTTTCTCAACCGATTTAAGAAAACTCGACGGCAAAACAAAGCGAAAAAACTCACTCGTCGTTCGGACTGTTGTTGCCGCAGCCGGGGCTGCCGATGTCCAACAACACTTTATACGACAACTTAAATAAATTTCATCAAAAAGTTTGGAAATAAGCAAAAAAGTAGGGTTCGAAAATTTCCGTATACGCAAAAGGTCCATAATTTTGTTATTATTAAACAAATTTAAAAAAAATTTGCAACAAAGCAAAATAAAAATTATTCTCCAGCAAAATATTTAAAAACCCTCTGGTGAATATTTTTAATTCCCTCACATAACCTTAAAAACTAAACTTGTTGCAAAAGGTTGATAACTTCCCCATTTTGTAACCGATTTTAAAAAACTCGACGTTAAAATAAAGCCTAAATATTTCTTTATAATATATTTCATTTACTACATCACAAAATTTGTAAATAAGCAAGTTGATAAACACTAAAAGTAATGTTAAAAATTTCGTATTATGCAAAAGGTCCATAACTTTTTTATTATTAAAATAATTTAAAAAAATATTGTGTCAAATCGAAATAAAAGTTATTTCCCAACAATATATTTAAAAACCCTCTGAAGAATATTCTGAATTCCCCCTCACAACTTAAAAAACACGGTTAATGCAAAAAACATAACTTTTAAAAAGTAAAGTTTAAATTATAATACATAACAATACATGCTAAAGTTGGAAATTAAGCCAAAAAATTAAGGTTGGGAAATTAGCGGATGTGCAAAAGGTCCATAACTTTTTTTCTATTGGATCAATTTTAAAAAATCTTGTGCCAAATTAAAGCTAAAACAATCCCCCAACAAAATATTAAAAAACCCTTTGAAGAATATTTAAACTTTTCCGGGAAAATCGAAAAACCACGCTTGATGCAAAAGGTCGATAACTGCCCCGTTTCTCAACCGATTTAAGAAAACTCGACGACAAAACAAAGCGAAAAAACTCACTCGTCGTTCGGACTGTTGTTGCCGCAGCCGGGGCTGCCGATGTCCAACAACACTTTATACGACAACATAAATAAATTTCATCAAAAAGTTTGGAAATAAGCAAAAAAGTAGGGTTCGAAAATTTCCGTATACGCAAAAGGTCCATAATTTTGTTATTATTAAACAAATTTAAAAAAAATTTGCAACAAAGCAAAATAAAAATTATTCTCCAGCAAAATATTTAAAAACCCTCTGGTGAATATTTTTAATTCCCTCACATAACCTTAAAAACTAAACTTGTTGCAAAAGGTTGATAACTTCCCCATTTTGTAACCGATTTTAAAAAACTCGACGTTAAAATAAAGCCTAAATATTTCTTTATAATATATTTCATTAACTACATCAGAAAATTTGTAAATAAGCGAGTTGATAAACACTAAAAGTAATGTTAAAAATTTCGTATTTTGCAAAAGGTCCATAACTTTTTTATTAATAAACTAATTCAAAAAAATATTGTGTCAAATCGAAATAAAAGTTATTTTCTAACTATATTTTTAAAAACCCTCTGAAGAATATTCTGAATTCCCCCTCACAACTTAAAAAACACGGTTAATGCAAAAAACATAACTTTTAAAAAGTAAAGTTTAAATTATAATACATAACAATACATGCAAAAGTTGGAAATTAAGCCAAAAAATTAAGGCTGGGAAATTAGCGGATGTGCAAAAGGTCCATAACTTTTTTTCTATTGGATCAATTTTAAAAAATCTTGTGCCAAATTAAAGCTAAAACAATCCCCCAAGAAAATATTAAAAATCCCTCTGAAGAATATTTAAACTTTTCCGGGAAAATGGAAAAACCACGCTTGATGCAAAAGGTCGATAACTTCCACGTTTCTCAACCGATTTAAAAAAAGTCGACGCCAAAATGAAGCGAAAAAACTCACTCGTCGTTGGGACTGTTGTTGCCGCAGGTGGGGCTGCCCATGTCCACGTTGGTCTCGCTGGAGGTGGGGCTGTCGTCTCCGGGGCTGGCGCTCAGCATGCCCACCGCGGGGCTGGGCGCGCCGCTGTCGTCGACGCGCGTCTCGCCGGAAGCAGCGGCGCCGCCCGAGTCCGGGCTCGAGTCGTCCACCTTGTCCGAGTTGTAGCCGGACTCGGAGCCTTTGGGGAGCCTTTGGGGGTCCTCCGCGTTGTCCTCGACGTCCGCGTCGGACTCCGAGTCGGACTTGTCCATGCCGGTCTCGCCTCCCGCGCTCATCGACGACGAGTTCAGGCTCGAGAAGCTCTTGTGGTTCTTCTGCTTCTTGTTTTTCTTGCGTTCCGCGCGCTTCTCCTTTTTTATTTGGTGCTTCGAGGGTTTCGTGTCGTCGCTGTCTTCCGCTTTGCGTCTGAGGACGGGCGGGACTTGCTTTTCCGATATTGGCAGGCTGAAATTTCAATTAAATAAAATATTCCACAGTCAAACAGTGGTAACTCGATAGGGGCTTATATGAAAAGCCTGAAACCAAATTTGCGCCACCTGATTATTTTTTCTTACAAAGATACGCAAAAATACATTTTTTAGTTTTTAGCGAATATCTCGGCACAATAAAAAGTAAAATAATAATTATTTTTTACAAAACGTGCAATAATTTTTGTCTAAAGTATTTTTTGTTTAAACAAAAGAGTAAAAAAATATAGTTATAGTCTCAGCCAAATCTGTCTTGGTTTAAAACATTCTAAAATGCGTTTTGACATTTTATAATGTTTTTTATAATTCTTAAATGTGTATTAAACAATCTGAATTGTGTTTCCAAAATTTTAAAATTCTTGACATTTTTCAATACACCAAAATAACATTTAAAATGTGTTTTTTTAAATTCCCGAGTATTAAAAATTGTGTTTTTGACAATCTAAAATGCGTTTTGACGTTTTATAATGTTTTTTATTCATTCTAAAATGTGTTTTAAAAACCTAAATTGTGTTGCCAACATTTTAAAATTTTTGACTTTTCAAATATGTTTATAATATTTTTAAAATGTGTTTATAAAAATTCTCTGGTATTTTTGGAATTTTAAATTGTGTTTTTGAAGTTGTAGGTTTAAAACATTCTAAAATAAGTTTGACATTTTATAATGTTTTTTATCATTCTTAAATGTGTTTTAAACAAAATTCTTGACATTTTTCAATACACCAAAATATGTTTATAACATTTTAAAATGTATTTATAAAAATTCTCAAGTATTTTTGTAATTTTAAATTGTTTTTGACATCTAAATTCCGTTCGTGGATTGGTCGCCTATCGTTAGTCGCACTCATTTTAAAAAGTGTTCATAAAAATTCTCTAGTATTTTTGTTATTTTAAATTGTGTTTTTGACATCTAAATTGCGTTGTATAACATTCTAAAATAAGTTTGACAATCCAAAATGCGTTTTGGCATTTTATATGTTTTTTATTCATTCTAAAATGTGTTTTAACAATCTAAATTGTGTTTCCAACATTTTAAAATTTTTGACACTTTTCAATACACCAAAATGTGTTTATAACATTTTAAAATGTGTTTTTGACATTCTAGGTTTAAATTCTAGGGTTAAAACATTCTAAAATAAGTTTGACATTCTAAAATGCATTTTGACATTTTATAATGTTTTTTATCATTTAAACAATCTAAATTGTGTTTTCAACATTTTAAAATGCTTGACATTTTTCAATACACGAAAATATGTTTATAACATTTTAAAATGTGTTCATAAAAATTCTCAAGTATTTTTGGAATTTTAAATTGTGTTTTTGACATCTAAAGTTTAAGTTTAGAACATTCTAAAATAAGTTGCATTTTGACATTTTATAAGGTTTTTTAATATTCTTAAATGTGTTTTAAACAATCTAAATTGTGTTTTCAACATTTTAAAATGCTTGACATTTTTCAATACACGAAAATATGTTTATAACATTTTAAAATGTGTTTATAAAAATTACAAGTATTTTTGAAATTTTAAATTGTGTTTTTGACATCTACATTGAGTTGTAAAAATTCTAGGTTTAAAACATTCTTAAATAGGTTTGACATTCTAAATTACGTTTTGACATTTTATAATGTTTTTTATCATTCTAAAGTGTGTTTGAACAATCTAAATTGTGTTTTCAACACTTTAAAATTCTTGACATTTTTCAATATAGGTACTAAAATATGTTTATATTATTTTAAAATGTGTTTTTTTATATTCTCAAGTATTTTTGGCATTTAAAATTGTGTTTTTAAAAATTCTAAACTGTTTTGAAACTAAACAAAATTTTGAATTTGGTAAACTTTATTTTCTTACTTACACTGCCCGTCAAAATGAACGCATAATAAGTAAAAAAATTCTAACTCTAAAACGCCTTTACCAATCTTTATAAAATTTTGAATAAAAATACTTTAACTTATATCTCAGTTTATGTGTTTTAGGGATTTTTGAGAAAATATCCTTAAAGCCCTTTTATTTAATAATAAAAAACGCTCAAAAAAAAAATTATGAGGAAATTTTTTTCAAGTGAATAAAAAATATGCTGTGAAAGACCGTATTTTTGTTAGTATACCCTAAAAGTTTTGTACAAATCAAACAAACAGTAACGAAGATACAGCGCTTCAAAGTCGGAAAAATTACCACTTTTCAGTAAAATATTCAAAAAAGGGTCATTTTTACCGACTTTGAAGCGCTGTATCTTCGTTACTGTTCGTTTGATTTGTACAAAATTTTCAGGATATACTAACAAAAATACGGTCTTTAACAGCATATTTTTTATTTACTTAAAAAAATTCCATATAAAAGTTTTTTTTCGAGCGATTTTTTAATATTAAATAAAAGGGCTTTAAATATATTTTCTCGAAAAACCCTCGAACACGTAAACTGAGATATAAGTTGAAGTATTCTTATACAAAATTTCATAAAGATTGGTAAAGGCGTTTTAGAGTTAGAATTTTTTTACTTATTATGCGTTAATTTTGACGCGCAGAAACAAAAAACACTTTAGACAAAAACTATGGGAAATTTTATAAAAAATAATTTTTATTTTTTACTTTTTATTGTGCACAATGTGCAGTATTTTTAATCAATTCATGAAAAAAACAGACAGTGTCTTAACAGCATTTTTAATTTAATTTAATTTAAGTTAGGTACCTTAGATCGAGGAAAAATTCGTCCCTATGCGAGGTGTGCTGGCAAGTTTGGCACTGCAAAGTGCTAACCAAGACCCCTCTGAACACTTGCTCGGTGGGCAGTAACATCTCCGAGGCTTGCTGGCCGTAAAACTTGATGATCCTCTTCTTGTCGCCCTCGACGGTGCTCGGATCGGTCTTCATGTTAAAACCTAAGCAGAAACCTTCGAATATACACTACTCACCGTACACCGCGCGCAAACCGCGAGCACTCACCAAGCTTCTCGAGGATGACGCTCTTGTATCTCTTGAGATCCTCCTCGCGCACCGCCTCCAGCAGGTGCCTGAGCAGCTCGTGCGAGTCGTGCTGGTCGCCGCCGCCGAACTGAGGCATCCTGGCTATCAGCTTGCTCAGCAGCAGTCGCGGGGTGAACACCTCCGCGCGGCCGCTCTGCAGCTCCCTCAGCGTTTCCGCCAGGGTCTGGCAAAGGGGCCGCCACTTCTCCAGGTTACCTGAACAAACCCCAATCGCTCAAATATCAACAACTTCGGCTAATTTGTCCTTCTATATTACCGTTTAAATAAGTGTTTTTTAAATTATGTTTTTACATTTAAAATTGGGTTTTTATGTTCTAAATATTTGTTTTGACATTGCGTATTTTTTTTAACATTTTAAAATGTGTCTTTTTTTAAATCTTAAGTATTTTTGTAATTTTAAATTGTGTTTTTTACATCTAAATTGCGTTGTAAAAATTTTAACTTTTTTGGATGTTTTAAATTAACATTTTAAAAATGTGTCACCAATTTAATTTGTTATTAACATTCCAAATTGTGTTTCTGGCATTCTACAATGTGTTTTTTAAAATCTTAAGTATTTTTGTAATTTTAAATTGTGTTTTTTACATCTAAATTGCGTTGTAAAACTTTTAACATTTTTGTATATTTTAAATTAACATTTTAAAAATGTGTCACCAATTTAATGTGTTTTTAACATTCCAAATTGTGTTTTTAACATTTCAAATTGTGTTTTTGACATTCTAGGTTTAAAACATTCTAAAATGCATTTTGACATTTTAGAATGTTTTTTATTATTCTTAAATGTATTTTAAACGATCTAAATTGTGTTTTCGACATTTTAAAATGTTTATAAAATTTCTCAAGTATTTATGGAATTTCAAATTGTGTTTGGCATTCTAAAATTTGTTTTGGCAATGCATATTATGTTTTTAACATTTTAAAATGTGTTTTTTTTTAAATCTTATAGTATTTTTGTTATTTAAAATTGTGTTTTTTACATTTAAATTGCGCTGTAAAAATTTTAACATTTTTGGATATTTTAATTTAACATTTTAAAAATGTGTCACCAATTTAATGTGTTCCAAATTGTGTTTCTGGCATTCTAAATTGTGTTTTATGTTCTAAATATAATATATACAGTATGTCTCAGTATCTTGGAATCATATGGAAAACTTTTTATTATTAATTTTAGGAAAAAAAGTTATTCTTCATAAAAAGTTCTGCATGGTGTAAAACTTTAAATGCAACCCACAAATATTAATTTTTTTTAGTCGTATACGAGGTATGTCAAAAAATATGAATTTGGCGCAGGAGTAAAGTACCTTTATATTTGACAATATCGAAAATTGTTATAAAGAAAAGTTAATCAGAACTAAAAACTACGTTTAAATATGCAATTTCATACATTTACATTAAAAAATTAGGTTTTGTTAATTTTTACTAATCTTTCTATTTTAAATGAACATTTATCTGTTATGATTAGAAAAAACATGAAAACCTTAAGTTAAGTCAGGGGATCTAGCAGGCCAAAAAGTATTAGAATATCGACAAATCATTTGTTTATCAGTGAATCCTAAATTACATGTTACAGTTAAATTTGCATTGATATTGCAGACAAAAAAGAAAAAATATTTTTTTAATGTAAATGGATGTAATTGCATATTTAAACGTAGTTTTTAGTTCTGATTAACTTTTCTTTATAACAATTTTCGATATTGTCAAATATAAAGGTACTTTACTCTTGAGCCAAATTTATATTTTTTGACATACCCCGTATACGACTAAAAAAAATGGGTTGCATTTTAAGTTTTACACCATGCAGAACTTTTTATGAAGAATAACTTTTTTTCCTAAAATTAATAATAAAAAAGTTTTCCATATGATTCCAAGATACTGAGACATACTGTATATATATAATTGGCATTCTAAAATTTGTTTTGACAATGCATATTATGTTTTTAACATTTTAAAATGTGTTTTTTAAAATCTTAAGTATTTTTGTTATTTTAAATTGTGTTTTTTACATCTAAATTGCGTTGTAAAAATTATAACTTTTTTGGATGTTTTAAATTAACATTTTAGAAATGTGTCACCAATTTAATGTGTTTTTAACACTCCAAATTGTGTTTCTGGCATTCTAAATTGTGTTTTATGTTCTAAATATAAAGTTGGCATTCTAAAATTTGTTTTGACAATACATATTATGTTTTTAACATTTTAAAATGTGTTTTTTAAAATCTTAAGTATTTTTGTTATTTTAAATTGTGTTTTTTACATCTAAATTGCGTTGTAAAAATTTTAACTTTTTTGGATGTTTTAAATTGACATTTTAAAAATGTGTCACCAACTTAATGTGTTATTAACATTCCAAATTGTGTTTTTGGCATTCTAAATTGTATTTTATGTTCTAAATATAAAATTGGCATTCTAAAATTTGTTTTGACAATGCATATTATGTTTTACCCTTTTAAAATGTGTTTTTAAAATCTTAAGTATTTTTGTTATTTTAAATTGTGTTTTTGCATCTAAATTGCGCTGTAAAATTTTTAACATTTTTGGATATGTGTCACCAATTTAATGGGTTTTTAACATTCCAAATTGTGTTTCTGGCATTCTAAATTGTGTTTTTTAAATATGAAATTGGCATTTTAAAATTTGTTTTGACACGTCTGAAATATGGTTTTACATGTGTGTTTTTGACATCCTAAATTGTGTTTTTAACGTTATTAAATGTTTGTTATTTTAAAATTTGTTTTGATTCTTGACATTTCATAAAGTAATATAATATGTATGTTTTAACCCTATGTTTAAACATTTTAAGATGCATTTGTTCTTGACATTCCAAATTGTGTTTTAACATTCTGAAAAGTGTTTTTGACATTTCAAATTGCGTTTTTTAAATTTTTGACGCTTACCTTGCATCGGATCCAACTCGATGTTCTCCTTGTTCTCCATGAGGCATTTGCCCCCGGGCAGTTGAAAAAATTGCCCCGTTTCGGCGGTCTCATCCAGCAAGCTCAGTAGATAGGGGGTTTGTCCCAAACATTGCATGACGGAATTGAAAAAACAAGTGTTGCCCAGGTTGGACAAACCTCTAGCTCTGGGGGGAGAGTTGGAGAACACGTAAGGGGCCATGGGGACATCCTTGGGGGTGGCCCCCATCGGCCCCATGGAGTTGTGCAGCGGCAACGTCGACACCACATCGATGACCTGGCAACATTGCCATTTTTTAGTAAAATCGCGAGTTTAAGGTTAATTAATATGAATATTAAAACAATGTTAATTCTAGGTACAAATTGTATACATACTTTTTCTATAACTGTATTATAAAAGAATTTAATACACTCAATGATAAAAATAATAATGGAATTGTGCTTAATAATCATTTTACACCTTACATTGACTTATCTTATCATTTTTAAAATAACAGTTACTTTAAAAATAAATAAATCTAATCATTTAAGTATGACAGATAAAAATACATTCTATACAGGGTGTCCCAAAATTGGGGTAAATTTATCTTGAAATTTCATATATATCTGTAAAATTGGTTTTTATGAAATGGCGATTTTAAAATTTAAAATTCCCAAGTATTTTTGGAATTTTTAATTTTGTTTTTGACATCTAAATTGCCTTGTAAAAATTGTTTTTGACATTTAATGTGTTTTTAACATTCCAAATTGCGTTTCTGACATTCTTAATTGTGTTCCTGGCATTCTTAATTGTGTTTTTGATATTCTTAATTATGTTAGATAGGTTTAAAACATTCTAAAATTTTTGCCATTTCAGTTTGTGTTTTTGACATTAAATATGGAATTGGCATTTTAAAATGTGTTTTGACGTTCCATAACATGCTTTTTTTTAAACATCCTAAAATGTTTTTGGATCATTTTAAAAATTCTAAAATGTTTTTGACATTCTAAATTGACATTTTAAAAATGTGTCACCAATTTAATGTGTTTCTGGCATTCTTAATTGTGTTTTTGACATTTCAAATTGTGTTTTTGACATTCTAAATTATGTTAAATAGGTTTAAAACATTCTAAAATGTGTTTTTGACATTCCAGTTTGTATTTTTGACATTAAATATGAAATTGGCATTTGACATTTAAGAAAATGTATTACATTTTAAAAATTGTTTTTGACATTCTTAATTGACATTTTAAAAATGAGTCACCAATTTAATGTGTTTTTGGCATTCTAAATTGTGTTTTTGACATTTTAAATTGTGTTTTTGACATCTAAATTGCGTTGTAAAACATTCTAAATTGTTTTTGATACTCCAAATTGACATTTTTAAAATGTATTAAAAATGTAATGTGTTTTTTAACATTCCAAATTGTGTTTTTATCATTCTAAATTGTGTTTTTGCCATTTTTAATTGTGTTTTTTACATTCTAAAATAAGTTCGGCATTCTAAAATGCGGTTTGACATTTTATAACGTTAATCATTCTAAAATGTGTTTTTGACGGTCCAGTTTGTGTTTTTGACATTAAATATAAAATTGTCATTTTAAAATGATTTTTGACATTTCATAATATGCTTTTAAATATTTTAAAATGTGTTTCCAACATTTTAAAATGCTTGACATCTTTCAATACACCAAAATATGTTTATAACATTTTATATGTGTTTTTTTAAATTCTCAAGTATTTTTGAAATTTTAAATTGGGTTTATGACATCTTAATCGCGTTTTAAAAATTCTAAACTATTTTTGACATTCTAAATTTACATTTTAAAATTGTGTCACCAATTGTGTTCCAAGTTGTGTTTTTAGCATTCTAAATTGTGCTTTTGTCATTTTATAATTTTGTTAACCATTCTAAAATGTTTCATAATATGCTTTTAAACATTCTAAAATCTGTCTACAGCATTTTAAAAATGTGTTTTTTGCATTCTAAACGTTAAAAACGTTATAAAATGACACTTTTCAAAAATGTGTTTTTGACATTCCAGTGTGTTTTTGACCTTTTTTAATATACTAAAAAATGTTTACAACCAAACTGGGGTAAATTCCTCTTGAAATTTCAAGACTAATTTTTCGTTACCCTATAAATACAGGGTGTTATGTAATTAATGTTATATATTAAAATGGGTTGTTCCTTAGGGTCCATAAAGAAGCACCTGAAACTTTTTTTTTCTAAATTCCAAAGTCTAAAAATAATTTATAATAACCTTTATCCTACCAAAAAGTACGCCACTGATCGACTAGGAACTTTAGGTTAATCTGGTGGATTTATTATGTTATGGTTGGTAACAGTGTTTCCAAAATCTCTCAAAAAAGTTGACAAACATTGTTTAAATTTAGCTTAATTACAAAAATGACAAAATTAACAATGCAAATTGTCAATTTGGCGTTTTTATTAATTGTTGGTTATTTCATTTTTGTACTGAAGGTAAATTCAAACAAAATCTGCCAACTTTTATGACAGAATCTAGTGCATTTCTTTTAAATTTTAGGTTATGTTTTCAAATTGTAAATATCTTAACTAAGGGAAGTGCTTTTGGATTTATTTACACAAATTAAATGTTTAAAGTTTAACCTGTGAACTGGTCCCAATTTCATCTGAGTAAACAGAGAAAAAAACTGATGAAAAAATTAATTTTGTGGTTATGGATTTCAAATTTCAAAGGTACTAAATTTTCTAATCATTGCTTAAGCTAATAGCTGGATGAGTAAATAAATACAGAAGGGTATTAGAGCTTTAAGGGCATAAAACTTTTGTATTTATTGAGTTTTTATTTATTTTTTGCAAGAAAAATTTTTAGTAACAATTTTTTACATCTGGCAACGCATAGCTACTTTGTTGGTTGGTATCTATGTACTCACAAAATACAGGTGTGCAGAGATAAACAAGTGTGTAACCAGTGGCGTATCACAAAAAATATAAAAAACTTCTAATGCATATTTTTTCTTTATCTTTGGAAAAATGTTTTTTTAAATATTTTTCCTTTATTCCTTATGTCAAAAGGTATTCAGTATTTTAATATATAACATTAATTACATAACACCCTGTATATCAGTAAAATTGATGAACTTACGGTTTTTATAAAATGACGGTTGCAAAAATACTCACCCTATCGGTTATCGAGGGCATACTGAGCATTTGCTTGGGCTTGCTGGACTCGCATTGCTTCCTAAGAATTTCCACTGCGTCGAGCAGTTTCTTTTTGCAGGTTATGTTGACCTCGTCGTCGCAATCGTAACACCACACCGACCAAATCGTCGTGTTGACGCAAATGGCGTGCGACTCCGAATGCGGGGTGTTGTAATGCTTGATCGCATGCTTGTTCTTGCCCCTGCCGCACGCCTGGTTGCCGCACTTCAGGCACAGCCACAGCGACATGTCGAACTCGATGTCGCCGTTCATGTCGGCGTCATCTGCAACAGACATCGGTAATTACACAATCCACGCAACAAGGTCTGTTCTATCTCATGCTGAAAATACTAAAAATCACTGCAACACTGCACAGAGTTTAACGGCGGCCATTTTTGTCGTTTACAATTCTTGTGCTTTGCGTTTGTGCTGTTTAATAATTGTTTTAAACGTTGGGTTTCTTACAGAGGCACTTGTAAGCCTCAAATAAGGCCTTTAAGTGCTAAGGACAACCGTTTTACTCGTCTTTTATAATAAATATACCTTATTCTATCAGGACTGTCAAATGACAATTTGAAGGTTAATTTGTGGGTTATAATTTAACCTTAAATTTGACATTTGACAGTTTTATGACAGCCCTGATAGAATAAAGTTTATTTTTTACGATAGAGGAGTTAAATGGTTGTTCTTGGCACTTTAAGGCCTCTTTAAAGGCTTACTATGAGAAACACAACGTTTAAAACGATTATTAATCTGTATAAACAGAGCACAAACCCAAAGCACAAAAATTGTAAACAACAAAAATGGCCGCCGTTAAACTGTGCAGTGTTGCAGTGATTTTTTGTATTTTTAGTACCTACGAGATAGAACAGACCTTGTTGTGTGGATTGTGGGTAATTCTAGCAAGTCAATTGAAACAACTTTACAAATTTCAAAAGCAAAAAGTTAAAATATCAATTTGAATGCTATCTGACAACTCAGCATGAAGTGATGATGATACGACAATAAGCTAAAGTATCGGGTTTTCGCAACGGTGGTGGACTTCGTTGTTTGTGTTTTACGTTGCAAGGAAATAATAAAAAAACTTTTTTAGTACTCGATTTCGATTGATTATCCCTTATATCATTGATTAAGAAACTCAACGCTTAAATGCTTTTATAGTTACGTTAGTGTGTGTATTTTATCCAAGGGATCATGGTGAATTATTGTGTTTTTAATTGCAAATAAAATTCAAGAACTAAATCGTTGCATTTTCATGTTTTGCCAAAGTTATATTGTGCAGTTGTCAAGTTGAGTTGTCGAAATTCGTAGTTAAAAGTGCAATTTATTTGGCTTTGGTGGTGCTTGGATGAGTAAAATCATATAAAAAAGTTGTTAAAAATAGGTTGCTTTACGGCCCAGAAGAGAAAGTATTCCTAGCGGATAATAATCTTCGCTTCAAAAAGAATTTATATAAAATTTTTTGTGAACGTAAATGATGTCCAATAGCGAATAATGTGAAAATAATGTGTGATGTAATATTTATAAAACCAAATTCGTTACTTTTTTACTCAAAAAATGTCCATAAGGCGATGTACTTTTTCTTCCATTGTGGCATTTGGCATAATTTCATCAAAATGAAGTTTTGCCCTTAAAAGGGCTTTTACATTCGAATTCGTTGCTAATATTTTTGGCATAATTATCTTTATTTATAATTGACAAGTAAATTACAAATAATAAATATTATTGTCAATTTGACAGTGCCAAAGTATTTGATTAAATTCTTTAGCAGAAGTACCTACAATTTTTAAATACTCAAAATACTAAGCCACCAACCTAACAAAAAAACACGAGTCCAGATAAAAAAAATGAACTGTATGTATTAAAGTATGAAAGTGACCTCAATTCTACTGAAAGTACTTAATTCTATGATTTTTTGTTATTAATGTGTTAATCCACTAGCGCTTGATGCAATGTTGTCAGATGTACATTTTATTTCAATATCGGTAACGTTTAATTAAATTAAAATCAAAATAAAGTAATAAAACAAATTGTATTCTAAACACTTATAACCAATTTCCTGGGTCCCCAAAAATTACCAAAAATACATGTCAACCAAATTTTCAAGAAATATGCAAACCCCCAAAGCCTCAAGAAACTTTAATATACTGGGTTTCCAAAAATAACCGAATCAAACCAAAAGAGTCGAATTCTTGCGAAAATCTAAGACGAAATTTCCTTTACCATTTTTTTTGAATTCGCAAAATTCCAAGAGTTATTTAATTTTTAAGGCCGCCATTGAGGAGGTCCCAAAATTGGTGGCATTACAAAAAATAGTAAAGAAAATTTTGTCTTGGGTGATGTTGGGACACCCTGTACCTATATTAATGCGTGGTTGACCATGGTTGAAATGTCAAATTTCAAAAGTTACATACTTTTTTTAAATAATTAATAAAGAGTGTGGACTTAAATTTTACATATCCCTGATTCATGATTTGTTTTAAGCCAATTTTCGTGCAATAATGTGACTTTTTGGGGAAAAAAATTCCTTTGCAGTATACAGAAGAGATTGACTTTCTTAGTAGACATAGAAACAAAGTATTATAATCTGCTTTGTGCTAATTTTTTTGGCAGAGATAACCTAAAGTGACCAGGCTATTTTGTGATATTTTGGGGTGATTTTGAGGCACTTACCGTTTACTTTCTTGCATTCCTCGCAATCCGTGGTGAATCCGGTCCTGAGAATGTTTTTTCTGACTTTGTTTAAATCCACAGCTTTGTTGATGTGAGTACATTCGACGGTATTTTGGTTTTCGTCGCATGATTCGGTGGATTCGTCCGCGTTTGGATCGTTTTGGTGTTTCTTTTTGTTCATTGTTAATTATTATTAGTCGACGATAATTGATTTTAGAAACACGTTGTAACCTTCATTGAAAAATCGACGTAATTTTAACGAATTATCTAACCACTGAACTCGAAAGAACACTGTTTAACGCTTAATATTGCTCGCGGTTTGTTCTATTGGATTTTTAATTAAGAAAATCGTGATAAATTTGTCAAGAACTTTGACAAGGCGATTCTTTTTTCTTTCTTTTTTTCCCTAGTGGCAAAAACTAAAGTCCCTAAACGTCACCCCAAACACCGCCACCTATCGACAAACACGTGAACTTAAACTTCATCAAAACTCCCGCAGATGTCGCCGGTTAAACTGTCAAAATCTATATAACCTCAAAAATAGATATTTCACCTAAAAATTGATAATGCGGCACTTAAAATTCATAGCAAGGACGATTTTCGTGCAAAATAACGACGTGGATGCGGCCTGCCGTACTTTGAACCGCATTTTAGGCCGTGAAGATATTCTGGACCAATTTAGAAGAACGAGGTTTTTTGAAAAGCCCCACCAGGTATTTATATCAATTTATTGTTTGAATAGCAATACATTGTTGTTTTTTAGTTCCGCAGGAGGATAAATTTCGAGAAATGCAAAGCTATTTACAATGAAGATATGGATCGTAAGATTCAGTTTGTTTTAAGGAAAAACAGGGCAGATCCTTTCCCGGGAAGTTTTTAGCTTTGTATTTTGTGAATGTTAGTGAAATATAGTTATGTAAGTGTTATTTTTGTTTTATTTACCTTTTTTATTACTGAGATTTTAAGGTATTTAAATAAAAGATGTGGAAGTTCATTTTATGTGCAGAAGTATTTTATTATATTATTATAATGTTAAGGCTTGGTCTTAGTGTAACACCTGATGTTATATTATTACAGTGTAACTGTACAATTGTTGTAATATACTTTTTTTAATAGTCAGTCGTAATGATTTTAAGCAACGTCTGTTTAAATACCAAGAAGGTTAATATAATTAGTATAAAGATTCTTGGGGCTTTTCTGTGTTTGTAAAAAATTTAGGTCAACTTTTGTACAATTGCAGAGTATTCGACAGAGTGATATTATCAATATCAGTCCAAAGATTTAAAATTAAATAACTACACAAATATAAATGGCTACATTATAAAATTGATGTTTATTTGTCTTTGATAGTTTTGAGACAAATTAAAAGGCAAGATTTATCATTAAATGAACAATTTTTCGGGTTTTTTCACGTTTTTTCTTTAAACACAAAAGAACTACAGACGTTACAGGTAATACATTATAATAAATATATATTAGGTAGGTAAGTCGATAAATTTATATAACAATAATTTCAGGAATGCTTCATAAACAATGATGAGCAAATTAAATTATTATGAAGCATTTGTGAAAGGGTATCGACGATCGAAATATTTTTTATGGTAGAGAAATAAAGGTTTCTTTATTCAGAGAGTTAATTTTCAATAATTTCAACTTTATAAAAATCAACATTTGTTGAATTTAAAACACCATTTTCAAACTCATACTGCCTTTTTTTGGTTGACTTTTTCTTAATATTTACAATCATTCATACATGCTGTTATATTATACACAGTGTCTATAATAATGAAAATATTTTTGATAATTTTATAATTTAAGCACATATAAATTAGACTATTGTTATGTAGATACATATACAGGTATTTTTGGGGGAAACCCAGGGAATTTTTGTGGGATTTTACATTTTTCATATTGGCTAAACTGGGTATGTAAATGTATAGCTGATTATTTTAGCAAACAAAGTTCATTGTAGCTGGTTTCGTTGCCAAAACAAATTAACATATTTCATTGCACAATACTTAATAATTAATAAATAATATAGATAGTCAGATATATAATGTTTTTATCACATGATTTTTAAGTAATATATTATGTTTAAAACACACTGTTTCGGTTTTTTGTTTTAATAATAGTACTTTGCAGTATCACAAAACTATAAAACACTTTTTCATTTTGCTGGTAAATAAAGTAGGGCCCGGTTTCGAACCGCCATCATTTTTGTCATACCACTGGCTCCTCCCTCTTGAAATTTATATTCTGACTGGCGCAAAAATCCCTGGTAAACGGGATGCAATTAAAATACGAACATACTTTACAATCATAAACCGGTATGATGTAGAACAGCAACACCAACGTGATAAACAGGATTCCCGCCGACAGCAGGCACACCCAGATCAGGAACACCTTTTTCTGCCTGTCGTAGCGCCCGAACGATATGAACGGCAACAGCGCGTAAGACAGCAGAAACCCGAATATGAAGCCGAAGAGGTGCGCGTAGTTGTCGACCCAGGGTAGCAAACCCAACAAAAACAGAAAGGCCGTCAGGCTGAGCAGCTTCATCAGCGCTTGGCGCGGCTTCTTCAGCATGGGCCACGCGTTCAGCACCTCCACTATCAGACAGGCCAGCAGGCCGAACTGGGAACCAGCTGGACCCACCTGAAAGAGAGAAATTCGTGAAGGCATCAAAATTGACAGTAAAAGTATGTTATATAGATAGAATAGGAAAAATGGCATCAGGGAATGATGAAGACATTGTTTCTTCCTAAGAAGACCAACCAAAGAGTCTCTAGTTTTCAATGGAAAGCCCTAAATCTTCTAAGATCCAGAATTTGGAAAATCAACTGTATTTAAAGTGGATGACAAGGAAAAAACAACTTCAGGGGTGAATAAAGGCATTGTTTCTTCACAATAAATAATTTTTATTTTAAAACTGTCCAACTTCTATAGTTGAGAATATGGAATACTGAAAGTATGCACTATATGTAGATAGCATGAGAAAAATGGCATCAGGGAATGATAAAGGCAATGTTTCTTCCTAAGATGATCTACCAAAGAGTCTCTAGTTTTCAATGGAAAGCCCTAAATCTTCTAAGATCCAGAATTTGGAAAATCGAATGTATTTAAAGTGGATATCAAAGAAAAAACAACTTCAGGGGTGAATAAAGGCATTGTTTCTTCACAATAAATAATTTTTATTTTAAAACTGTCCAACTTCTATATTTGGACGCCTTTCTGCAGAAAGGAACCAACCCACAAAACCAAAAAAATCGAGATATTTAGCCTATGAACTAATTAAGTATGTATAATTTATCTGCAAAATAGGTCAGCCAAAATGCAAGTGTAGTGAAATCTATTAATCATTGAACCAACCAACATTCAATAATAGTGTGGATTACTAATCCAAAATTAGAATCTGTACAGTATCTGCAAGTGGGTTGGATCTTTTTTGTAAAAAAGCAGGCTGGTAGACCCACTACCAAAGTCTTTAAAGATTTCCTGCTTCTGCAAAATATAAAGTCTTGATGCATTTTTTTGGTAGCTTACAAGATGAGGTGGGGTTGGAAGATGATGTGAACGAATTTCAAATAGAATCAAAATTAATTCATATTACCATTATAATAGTAATATCAGTTGTATTTTGTTTGGAAATAAATAATTGTCGCTTTTCTTTAAATACATACATACATCAGATAGGTAGTAGTTTTCATAAATTGCAGAAAAGAACCAACCAACAAAAGCCCATTTTTTTCGTCACCCTTACACATAACATCACAAAATCCACCTGATGAAATTATTAAATTATATCCCTTAAACCTCCGTAAGTCCAAAATCGGCATAAAATTAACAGGTAATTTTAAAATTATTAAAATCTTTGATAGCTTTTTTCTCAGTTTCATCATGGTGTGGGTTGGTCCCATTCTGCAGAAAGCCGTCCATTTGTGAATATGGAAAACTGAAAGTATGCAATATAGATAGCATGGGGAAAATGGCATCAGGGATGGATGAAGGCAATGTTTCTTCCTAAGATGATCTACCAAAGAGTCTCTAGTTTTCAATGGAAAGCCCTAAATCTTCTAAGATCCAGAATTTGGAAAATCAAATTTATTTAAAGTGGATGTAAAAGAAAAAACAACTTCAGGGGTGAATAAAGGCATTGTTTCTTCACAATAAATAATTTTTATTTTAAAACTGTAACTTCTATAGTTGAGAATATGGAAAACTGAAAGTATGCAATATAGATAGCATGGGAAAAATGGCATCAGGGAATGATAAAGGCAATGTTTCTTCCTTAGATGATCTACCAAAGAGTCTCTAGTTGTCAATGGAAAGCCCTAAATCTTCTAAGATCCAGAATTTGGATAATCTAAAGTATTTAAAGTAGAAAAAACAACTTTAGCGAATGATAAAGGTGATGTTTTTTCCTAAGAAAACCAACCAAAAAGTCTTAAGTTTTCAATGGAAACCTCAAAATCTTCAAAGTAGACATAATACGATTTTTCTACTTACATCAGCTCTGTAGGGAACGAAAATGGCGGAGGCAAGGTTGCCGGCCACTCCGGACCCGATGTAAACGATGCCGATACGCAGACTTCCGGTCAATTTCTCCAAATCGCGCATCAAGAAAACCTGCAGCAAAACCGTGATGACCAGCTGCAAAATTCCGGCGTGCAGGAACAGAGAGGTCCACAGCCGGTAAAATTGATCCGGCACGTCCGGAAAGTAGAAAGGCAGCATCCCGCACACGTCGTTCAGGCAGGAAACCTAAGAAAAAAAGATTTTTGTATTGTCTTCTATGATAAACAATTTTGTTACCTGTGAGCAGAGGGAGGCTTCTTCATGGAAAGTTCCCATAACGAAGTCGCAGTATTCTTTCGTGGTGATTTTACATTGACCGTGTATTCCGATGCAACAGGGATGTCCGATTATCTCGCAGACCATGTGCTCCGCGAGTTTGTCTCTCGGTGCCTTCTTTTGTGTCGAAAACTGGGTGTTTGTTTTCCTGCATATCGGCCACTTGGTGATGTCGTCCGGCCATTCGTAGGGGTGGACACTGGCAGGGGCGTCACAAAATCTGAAAAAAGTTATTTGAGAACGTTTTTTTATTATTTTTGCGGGCTTACTTGGGGTCGAGGCCGCATACAGAGCCCGATATCCTGCCGCCAGGTCCGGCTTCACCAGCCGTCCACTTCTTGAATGTCGATATCGTTTTCTGGAAACGGTCAAGCATTTATTCATATTTAAACTGGGGTGCTACATACTAAATATAAAAAAATAATGAAAATTTACAAATAAAACCATAATAGAAAATCTTCTAAACTCCATAATTTGGAAAATCGAATGTAGGTAATATAAATAACAAAGAAAAATATTTTTCTAAAATCTACAATTTGAAGATCAAATGTATGTAAATGAAATAGCATAGGAAATATATCATCACGGATGGATAAAGGAACTGTATCACATAAAGAATGTTAAATATTTCATAAATAACCCTTAATCTTTGATATATTGGAATTTTAAAAAACGGAAGTATGCAATATAGATAGCCTAAGAAAATTGACATTTGGAAATAACAAAGACATTATTTCTTCCTAAGAAGACCAACCAAAGAATAGATATTTTAAATGAAAAACCCAAAATTTTCTAAAATCTAGAATTAGAAGATTAAATGTATGTAAATAAAATAGCATAGGAAAAATATCATCTTGGATGGATGAAGGAATTGTGTCTTCCTAAGAAAATCACCCAAAGAATGTTAAATTTTCCCTAAATAGCCCTAAATCTTTGACACATTGTAATTTGAAAAAACTGGAAGTATGCAATATAGATAGCATAGGAAAATTCACATCAGGGAATTATAAAGGCATTGTTTCTTTATAAGAAGACCAACCAAAGAATCTCTAATTTTAAATGAAAAACCCTAAATCTTCTAAAATCTAGAATTGAAAGATTGAATATATGTAAATAAAATAGCATAGGAAAAATATCATCTTGGATGGATGAAGAAATTGTGTCTTCCTAAGAAAATCACCCAAAGAATGTTAAATTTTTCATAAATAATCCTTAATCTTCGATAAATTGGAATTTGAAAAAACTGGAAGTATGCAATATAGATAGCATAGAAAAATTTACATTTGGAAATAATAAAGGCATTGTTTCTTTCTAAGAAGACCATCCAAAGAATCTCTAATTTTAAATGAAAAAGTCTAAATCTTCCAAAATCTAGAATTGGAAGATTGATTATATGTGAAATAAATAGCATAGGAAAAATATCATCATAGATGGTTAAAGGAACTGTGTCTTCCTAAGAAAATCAACCAGAGAATGTTAAATTTTCAATAAATACCCCTAAATCTTTGATACATTGTAATTTAAAATAACTGGAAGTATGCAATATAGATAGCATAGGAAAATTCACATTAGGGAATTATAAAGGCATTGTTTCTTTATAAGAAGACCAACCAAAGAATCTCTAATTTTAAATGAAAAACCCTAAATCTTCTAAAATCTAGAATTGGAAGATTGAATATATGTAAATAAAATAGCATAGGAAAAATATCATCTTGGATGGATGAATAAATTGTGTCTTCCTAAGAAAATCACCCAAAGAATGTTAAATTTTTCATAAATAATCCTTAATCTTCGATAAATTGGAATTTGAAAAAACTGGAAGTATGCAATATAGATGGCATAGAAAAATTTACATTTGGAAATAATAAAGGCATTGTTTCTTCCTAAGAAGACCATCCAAATAATCTCTAATTTTAAATGAAAAAGTCTAAATCTTCCAAAATCTAGAATTGGAAGACTGATTATATGTGAAATAAATAGCATAGGAAAAATATCATCATAGATGGTTAAAGGAACTATGTCTTCCTAAGAAAATCAACCAGAGAATGTTAAATTTTCAATAAATACCCCTAAATCTTTGATACATTGTAATTTAAAATAACTGGAAGTATGCAATATAGATAGCATAGGAAAATTGACATTAGGAAATGATAAAGGAATTGTTTCTTCCTAAGAAGACTGACCAAAGAATCTCTATTTTTTATTTAAAAACCCAACATCTTCTAAAATCGTGCAAATTATGAAAAAAAAACATAAAAATCATAAATATCTACATTAAACATCCATATGTTACTGTATACGTACCGTAGGCCTCAATCCTCTCACCTTAAGCATTAAAACAAACGAGTTTTCATTAGCACAAAACCCTAAAATACTCAACAAAAGAAATACTTACCGAACAATCGGATTGCGTAGACTGGACGCACCCAGAATCGTCATTTCTAATGCAGCACGCAGTTTCCCGTTCTTTGGCTCGTATTTTGTCGATTTGCTGCGAAACTTTGTCGTCCACCCGCATGCAGGGCGCGAACTTGGCGCCCAGATGTATCAAGTCGGCCGCCCTGGGGCCCACCCAGAAGTTCGCCGGCTCCATGAAGTCCACTTGCTGCAAGGACAAGCTGGTGACCAAGATTTGCCCCGAGCGGGACTGCAGGTTCACTCCGAACGGCCCGATGCCGTAACAAATGATGGAGATCAGAAGCACGAGCACTTGCACCGTGGTCACCCAATACGTGAACATCGGCCGGTGATCTTCCAAATCGTCGAGTTGTTCCTGAATTTTTCTGTCTGCGGCGACGGATCTGCGCATAGAACGCCTGAAAAGGTTCAAAATAGAACATCATGGCATTAAAAATGTACCTATGTAAATTAAATAGCATGGGAAATATATCATCGTGGATGGATGAAGGAACTGTGTCTTCCCAAGGAAATCACCCAAAGAATGTTAAATTTTCCATAAATAACCCTAAATCATTGATATATTGGTATTTGAAAAAACTGGAAGTATGCAAAATAGATAGCATAGGAAAATTGACATTAGGAAATGATAAAAGCATTGTTTCTTCCTAAGAAGACCAACCAAAGAATCCCTAATTTTTATTGGAAAACACAAAATCTTCTAAAATGTAGAATTTGAAGATCAAATGTATGTAATTTAAATAGCATAGGAATAATATCATCATGGATGGATGAAAAAACTGTGTCTTCTCAAGAAAATTACCTAAAAAATGTTAAATTTTCCCTAAATACCCCTAAATCTTTGATACATTGTAATTTAAAATAACTGGAAGTATGCAATATAGATAGCATAGGAAAATTGACATCAGGGAATGATAAAGGCATTGTTTCTTCCTAAGAAGACCATCCAAAGAATCCCTAATTTTTATTGGAAAACTCAAAATCTTCTAAAATCTAGAATTTAAAAAGCGAATGTATGTAAAATAAATAGCATGGGAAAAATATCAACATTGATAGATAAAGGAATTGTGTCTCCCCAAGAAAATCACCCAAAGAATGTTAAATTTTCCCTAAATACCCCCAAATCTTTGATATATTGGAATTTAAAAAAACTGGAAGTATGCAATTTAGAAAGCATAGGAAAATTGACATCAAGGAATGATAAAGGCATTGTTTCTTCCTAAGAAGGCCAACCATAATTTTTATTGGAAAACCCAAAATCTACCAAAAATCTAGAATTTTAAAAGCGAATGTATGTAAAATAAATAGCATGGAAAAAAACATCAACATTGATGAATGAAGGAATTGTGTCTTTCCTAAAAAATGTTAAATTTTTCCTAAATACCCCTAAATCTTTGATACAATCTTTGATTAACTGGAAGTATGCAATATAGATAGCATAGGAAAATTGACATTAGGAAATGATAAAAGCATTGTTTCTTCCTATGAAGACCAACCAAAGAATCCCTAATTTTTATTGGAAAACACTAAATCTTCTAAAATCTAGAATTTGAAGATCAAATGTATGTAAATTAAATAGCATAGGAAAAATTACATCATGGATGGATGAAGGAACTGTGTCTTCCAAAGAAAATCACCAAAAGAATGTTAAATTTTCCATAAATAACCCTAAATCTTTGATATATTGTAATTTAAAATAACTGGAAGTATGCAATATAGATAGCATAGAAAAATTGACATTAGGAAATGATAAAAGCATTGTTTCTTCCTAAGAAGACCAACCAAAAAATCCCTAATTTTTATTGTAAAACACAAAATCTTCTAAAATCTAGAATTTGAAGATCAAATGTATGTAATTTAAATAGCATAGGAAAAATTACATCATGGATGGATGAAGGAACTGTGTCTTCCAAAGAAAATCACCAAAAGAATGATAAATTTTCCATAAATAACCCTAAATCTTTGATATATTGGAATTTAAAAAACTGGAAGTATGCAATATAGATAGGAAAATTCAAATTAGGGAATGATAAAGGCATTGTTTCTTCCTAAGAAGACCAACCAAAGAAGCTCTAAAACTTAGAATTTGAAGATCAAATGTATTTAAATTAAATGATCTTACCCAAACATCCTTCCGACCCATCCCATTCCATACTGCCGCCTATCCGAGTTATCCAGCACATGATCCAACATGCTGGAGTATATCCGTGTGCCTCCGACGCTGGTTCTGTTGTCTCCGTGCCTCAGCACCACTTCCTGGTTCGTGTCGCGCCTCCACCCGCCGGAAGTGGGCCTGCTGAACCTGCTTTCCGACGGAGATCGGTAAGGTTGCATCGGCCCAGCTTCGCCGCGCCCCCTGTCGACAGCGTCCTCCAGTTCCGGACTTCTCGGCGCCATCGGTATCGAGTTGTTGTCGAAGAAGCTCTGCTCTTCCGGCGAGGAAGGCGGGCTGACTGGCGGGGAGTCCGGAGGAAAGCTTCTGGACCACTGCTGCTGCTGCGATCTCGGCCGTGGTCTGTTTCTTGTCAGAGTCTAAATGAAAATATTACATGAGGGCGAATCTATATCTATATTTCAATAGAAAACCCTACAACTTATTTATATTGCAAAATAGATAGCATAGGAAAAAAGACATCAGGGAAATATAAAGGCATTGTTTCTTCCTAAGAAGACTAACCAAGGAATATCTAATTTTTAATAAAAAACCCTAAATCTTGCAATATCCAGAATTTAGAAAATATATTGCACTCAAAATATATAGCATGGAAAAAACAACATCAGGGATGGATGATGGCATGGTTTCTTCCTAAGATGGTAACCAAAAGAAAATCAAATTTTCTATCAAAAACCCTAAAACTTTAATAGCCCATTATCTAAAAAACTGAAAGTATGCAATATAGATAGCATAGGAAAAATTACATCAGGAAAAGATAAAGGCATTGTTTCTTACTAAGAAGACCAACCAAAGAATATCTATTTTTTAGTAAAAAACCCTACATCTTTCAATATGCAAAATTTAGAAAATAGATTACACTCAAAATAGATAGCATGGGAAAAACAACATCAGGGATGGATGATGGCATGGTTTCTTCCCAAGATAGTAACCAAAAGAAAATCAAATTTTCTATGGAAAACCCCAAAACTTCAATAGTTTATTATCTGAAAACTGAAAGTATGCAATATAGATAGCATAGAAAAAATGACATCAGGGAAAGATAAAGGCATTGTTTCTTCCTAAGAAGACCAACCAAAAAATATCTAATTTTTAATAAAAAAACCCTACATCTTTCAATATGCAAAATTTAGAAAATAGATTACACTCAAAATATATAGCATGGGAAAAACAACATCAGGGATGGATGATGGCATGGTTTCTTCCTAAGATGGTAACCAAAAGAAAATCTAATTTTCTATGGAAAACCCTAAAACTTCAATGGTTTATTATCTGAAAAACTAAAAGTATGCAATATGGATAGCATAGAAAAAATGGCATCAGGGAAAGATAATAGCATTGTTCTTCTTAAGAAAACTATCCAAAGAATATCTAATTTTTAATAAAAAACACTAAATCTTCCAATATACAGAATTTAGAAAATAGATAGCATAGGAAAAACAACATCAGGGATGGATGATGGCATGGTTTCTTCCTAAAATCGTAACCAAAAGAAAATCTAATTTTCTATGAAAACCCTAAAACTTCAATATTTTATTATCTGAAAACTGAAAGTATGCAATATAAATATCATAGGACAACTGGCATCATGGAAAGATAAAGACACAACCAAAGAGTGTCTAGTTTATAATGTTATTCCCAAATCTATATATTTTAAATTGTAAAACTGTAAATTTGCTCCACTGTTGTTGCGGTGGCCTGGATGATATTACTTTATGCGGAGAACTGTATAAATGTCCTCGGAAAGCCTAAAGATCGTCCCGGGGTTTAAAACGAATTTACAGCTCCCCGAAGACGAACTCGCAACTTTCCAGGAACATAAGTTTAATCAAAAGCAAGGCAAATTGTAAATTAATAGTTTTGTCGTCTTGGTTTCCACCCCGTTTTGTTGTATGTTATATAAATATTCCACCCGGATTTTATTATTTGTTCGTGGCATGCCTAAATATAATAAATTCGCGTTTTTACGACCCCCTTGTCTACTTACTTAGAATCCATATTCTTTTATGTACTACAAACAACTCTAAAAGGAAATAGAAAATACTTACCGTAACAACATAGGAGAGTCCATCCAACGTCATTCTGGCCACAGAGTCTTTTCTTCTCAACCCTGTAGCATGTCGATCGAAGCCGTCAGTGGCGTCGCTTGGTCCGGGCAAAACGTCGGGTCTTTCGGCCACCAATTGTCCCGAGATTCTTTCCGACGTTACTCTATCGGAAATGGTGCGCCTATGCGTCCTATCGTTCATATTGTTTCTAAATTCGTCTTTGAGAGGTCCAAGGGTCCTGAAAAATATGTTATTTATATACGATGGTACCAGGATATGGATGCATCCTAAGATATTCAATTTTAAAGAAAAGGTATTTTTCTATATTACACTTATGTATTGAGATTGTGCAAAATAACATCAGAGGTTATGGAAGTCACCAATTCTTCCTAGGAAAAATTTTTAAATTTTTAAATCTTTTATAGCTGAGAATTTGGAAAACTGAATGTTTGCATATGAAAAATGGCATTATGGAATGATTAAGACATTGTTTCTTCCTAAGAAGACCAACCAAAAAGTATACCGTTTTTACTGGAAAATACTAAATCTTCTAAAATCCAGAATTTGGAAAGTCGAAGTATTCAAAGGGAAAATAACATCAGGGATGGATGAAGGCATTGTTAATTCTTAAGAAGATCAACAAATAAATCTTTAATTTTCAATGGAAATCACTAAATCTTTTAGTATCCAGAATTTGGAAAGTCGAATGTATTCAAAGTAGATGGCACAGGAAAAATAACATCAGGGATGAGTGAAGGCATTGTTACTTTTTAAGAAGACTAACCAAAGAATATCTAATTTTAAATAAAAAACACTAAATCTTCCAATATCCAGAATTTAGAAAATAGATTTCACTCAAAATAGATAGCATAGGAAAAACAACATCAGGGATGAATGATGGCATGGTTTCTTCCTAAGAGGGTAACCAAAAGAAAATCCAATTTTTTATTAAAGACCCTAAAACTTCAATAGTTTATTATCTGAAAAACTGAAAGTATGCAATATAGATAGCATAGAAAAAATGAAATCAGGAAAAGATAAAGGCATTGTTTCTTTCTAAGAAAACCAACCAAAGAATATTTAATTTTAAATAAAAAACCCTAAATCTTCCAATATCCAGAATTTAGAAAATAGATTGCATTCAAATTAAATAGCATAGAAAAAACAACATCAGTGTTGGATGATGGCATTGTTTCTTCCTAAAATCGTAACCAAAAGAAAATTGAATTTTCAATGGAAAACCCTAAAACTTCAATAGTTTATTATCTAAAAAACTGAAAGTATGCAATATAGATAGCATAGAAAAAATTACAACAGGAAAAGATAAATGCATTGTTTCTTCCTAAGAAGACCAACCAAAGAATATCTAATTTTTAATAAAAAACAATAAATCTTGCAATATCCAGAATTTAGAAAATAGATAGCATAGGAAAAACAACATCAGGGATGGATGAAGGCAATGTTTCTTCCTTAAATCGTAACACAAAGAATATTTTCTTTTTCCCTTAAAGCCCTAAATCTTTCAAACTCCAAATGCTGGAAACTTCAGTGATATTTACCTGCATGCCATCCTTTTTCTCCGATCCAGCCATCTGGACTGCTGCTCTTCTTCGTGCTCCTCGTCCACGCCGAAGAAATTGGCCGTCTCTTTTCTGATGTAATTTTTGATGATCTCCTTTTTGCTCATCGATCTGTTCAATGGTGGTCTCTGTCTGTTTGGCGCCCTCTCGCTTTGCGAGTACTGTATCCTTTGCTGGGGTCTTGTGCGCTCAGGAGTGGGCGCATCAGGCATGGAAACGGCCCTTTGATGGCTTTGTTGGGGCCTGCCCTGAGGAGGGGTGGTTTGTGTTTGAATCGGCTGACGAAAAAAATGTTATTAATAATAGTGATAATGTAATTGGAATTGTTTATGGTTTTGTTACTTGTTTTGCAGCTGGAGGTGTTGAAGGCTTGTTCTCGGGCATCTCCGCTCTTTGCGGAACTTGTTGCTCTTGAGGCTCATAACTGACAGGGGTTGATGATCTATTTAGCTGAGGTTGTGGGGTCGGTGTTTGGCGTTGTTCTATGATTTGCTGAGGTTGCTGAGTGGGCTGTGGTGATGCGCGCCTTAATGAAAAGAAAAATACGTTATAATATGAAGAAGCATTTTTTTAGTTTATGAACTATATTATTATATTCATTAGATCAGGGATGGATGAAGTCAGTGTTACTTCCTAAGAAGATGAATCAATTAATGTCTAATTTTCAATAGAAAACACTAAATCTTTTAATATCCATAATTTGGAAAATCGAATGAATTTTAAGTATGAAAAATAACATCAGGGATGAAAACAGGCATTGTTACTTCTTAAGAAGATCAACAAATAAATCTCTAATTTTCAATGGAAAACACTAAATCTTCTAATATCCAGAATTTGGAAAGTCGAATGTATTCAAAGTAGATGGCATAGGAAAAATAACATCAGGGATGGATGAAGACATTCTTACTTCCTACGAAGACCAACCAAAGAGTATCTAGTTTTTTTAATGGAATACACTAAGTTTTCTAAAATCCAGAATTTGAAAAATCGAATATATTCAAAGTAAATAGCATAGGAAAAATAACATCAGGGATGGATGAAGGCAATGTTTCTTCCTAAGAAAACCAACCAAAGAGTATCTTATTTTCAATGAAAACCTCTAAATTTTCTAAAATCCAGAATATAAAAAGAATGTATTCAAAGTGGAAAGTACGAGAAAAACAACATCAGGGATGGATGAAGACATTCTTACTTCCTAAGAAGACCAGCCAAAGAGTTTCTATTTTTTAATAGAAAACACTAAATCTTCTAAAATCCAGAATTTCGAAAATCGAATGTTTTTAAAGTAGATAGCATAGGAAAAATAAAATCAGGGATGGATGAAGGCATTGTTACTTCCTAAGAAGACAAACCAAAGAGTCTCTAGTTTTCACTGGAAAACACTAAATCTTCTAAAATACAGAATTTGGAAAATCGAATGTTTTCAAAGTAGATAGCATTGGAAAAATAAAATCGGAGATGGATGAAGGCATTCTTACTTTTTAAGAAGATCAACAAATAAATCTCTAATTTTTAATGGAAAACCCTAAATCTTTTAATATCCAGAATTTGGAAAATCGAATATATTCAAAGTAGATAGCATGGGAAAAATAACATCGGGAATGAATGAAGGCATTCTTACTTCCTAAGAAGACTAACGAAAGAGTCTCTAGTTTTCACTGAAAAACACTAAATCTTCTAAAATACAGAATTTGGAAAATCGTATGTATTTAAGGTAGATGGCATAGGAAAAATAACATCAGGGATGGATGAAGGAAAAATAAAATCAGTGATGGATGAAGGCATTGTTACTTCCTAAAAAGACCAACAAATAAATACCTAATTTTCAATGGAAAACGCTAAATCTTTGAATATCCAGAATTTGAAAAATCGAATATATTCAAAGTAGATAGCATAGGAAAAATAACATCAGGGATAGATGAAGGCATGGTTTCTTGCTAAGAAGACCAACCAAAGAGTATCTGGTTTTCAATGGAGACCTCTAAATTTTCTAAAATCCAGAATTTAAAAAGTCGAAGTGGATAGCATCAATTTTTATTTAAATACCCTTAAATTTTAAAATTCAACATAGCATAGGAAAAATTTCACCAGGTATAATTGAAGGCACCATAAGATCCTTTGAAGAACTTTTTGCTCTAGAAAAATCGCGTGTTTAAGTGCATGTAATCTTGATAGTTGTTTGTCCGGCCGGACGTTGTCGTGGTGGTGGCTTCCGGACTTCCGGGTTCAATAATTTTATTGGTTATGAAGGCGAGAATAATTTAAATGAACTACTTAATGCGTTTTTTGAAGCTCGCAAAGTTTTTGCATTAGAAATTAATGAAAGACATTTACTTGGTCTGAATACTTTGGAAACTTTAATTGCTGACATTTAACGGCAACAAAAACAAAAGCAGTCGTTTGGATCGAATTCATTAGAATAAAGTTCTCGCTGAATGGGCGAAAACAACGAAAAAAGAGGATTTGCGAGCTTCTCGCTTATAAATTTATATTTATAAATGCAAAAATATGGTTTATATTTTTTGCTTCTTCTCGTTGCGGTTTTAAAACTAGTTGGTTTTTGTATTATTAACCCGTATTACCGCCGGAAAATTCGATTTGGCACGGCAGTTGCAAATTACATTTTCGGGCCTCTCCGAAAACCGAGTAAATAAATTAAATTGTTTATTTTCCCGAGCAAAATGAAAATAACTCAAACTGGAATTCGCTATTTAACCTCCAGAGAAAGTAATATCCACATATTATGATTATTACGATTATTACTAACTCGACTGCCTTGTGTTTTATCTACCTCAATTCTGTAAATTTTAAATTAAGTTAAGCCTGTTTAATTTAGTATTCCTGCAAAATTACAATTATATATATAATAAAGGACATATTCTTCCTAAAAGGAACAACTAGATAATGTCTATAGATGTATACATCATCGATAATTTTGGAAACTGAAATAAGAATGATAAAGGCATTATTTCTTCTCAGGAAGACCAATCATAGAATATTACGGAAAATTCATAATTTGAAAGACCAAATGTATTTAAACTAGATAGCATAGGAAAAAAGACATCAGGGAAAGATAAAGGCATTGTTTCTTCCTAAGAAAACTAACCAGAGAATATCTAATTTTAAATAAAAAACCCTACATCTTTCAATATGCAAAATTTAGAAAATAGATTTCACTCAAAATAGATAGCATTGGAAAAACAACATCAGGGATGGATGATGGCATGGTTTCTTCCCAAGATAGTAAACAAAAGAAAATCTAATTTTCTATAGAAAACCCTAAAACTTCAATAGTCCATTATCTAAAAAACTGAAAGTATGTAATATAGATAGCATAGAAAAAATGACATCAGGGAAAGATAAAGGCATTGTTTCTTCCTAAGAAGACCAACCAAAGATTATCTGATTTTTAATAAAAAACCCTACATCTTTCAATATGCAAAATTTAGAAAATAGATTACACTCAAAATAGATAGCATGGGAAAAACAACATCAGGGATGGATGATGGCATGGTTTCTTCCTAAGACTGTAACCAAAAGAAAATCAAATTTTCTATGGAAAACCCCAAAACTTCAATAGTTTATTATCTGAAAAACTGAAAGTATGCAATATAGATAGCATACGAAAAATGACATCAGGAAAAGATAAAGGCATTGTTTCTTCCTAAGAAGACCAACCAAAGAATATCTAATTTTTAATAAAAAACCCTACATCTTTCAATATGCAAAATTTAGAAAATAGATTGCACTCAAAATAGATAGCATGGAAAAAACAACATCAGGGATGGATGATGGCATGGTATCTTCTTAAGATGGTAACCAAAAGAAAATCAAATTTTCTATGGAAAACCCTAAAACTTCAATAGTTTATTATCTGAAAACTGAAAGTATGCAATATAGATAGCATAGAAAAAATGACATCAGGGAAAGGTAAAGGCATTGTTTCTTCCTAAGAAGACTAACCAAAGAATATTTAATTTTTAATAAAAAACCCTAAATCTTCCAATATCCAGAATTTTGAAAATGGATTGCATTTAAAATAGATAGCACAGGAAAAACATCATCAGGAATGGATGAAGGCATTGTAAAATCGTAACCCAAAGAATAATAAACCAAAAATGCGTTTTTTCATAAAACATTAACGTTTTTTTATATAAACTTAATATTTTAAGTGGTAAAAAGGTCACGTGTTCAAACACGGTTGATATCTCAATCCTTGGTAATTTATTCGGAAGGAAAATCGATAGGGCGTTAAAATTTTCATCACGCAACATAAGTTTTTCTCGAACATTATTTTTACGCATATAAAACGTTTTTCTTATTTTGGCTTTAATTTTTAATTATTGTAACACAGGTTAAACATCCAAAATGTAAATTCTTTGTCACTGTTTTTTTTATGTATTTTGGTCTACCAAACCTGCTGCTAAACTCAGCCTGTTACTAAAACGCCATATAGCCAGAACTGTATTTAAAATGTAAAAAAAAATCTCATTTAAAAACCCTAAAAATACGACGTATCCATCATTTTAAATTATTGACAATATTTACTTTTAATTAATTAATAGTCGCTTTTGTTGGCTGTTTTTGAAACAATTGGCGATTTTTCAGCAAATATGAAAACAAAAACTCCATTTGATTAATTTGTTTGCTAAACAACGCAATAAATTTGCCATATTCGACACAAAGGGTTTCAATTTAGTTCTGTCGAACTAAATGAACGCTTTTTGGGGCGAACTGGAGATATAATGAAACTTCTGAAATTCGCCCCCAACTGAAAACTTTACACCTTACACCGAAACGCTCCCAGAAGGCCTAGCAACGTCCAAAACTTCCCCTTTCATTTGTTTATGACGCTCGCTTGTCGGAATCGTCAAGAAAAAGACGAAATTCGAGGAGAAAAATGTTGTTTTATTAAAAGTTTTTAAGGAGGGCATTATTAATTCACAACCGATCAATCGTGGGTCATGCGGTGCAAAAATCGTCGAGAATGTTATGGAAACTGGGTCAAAAATATAGGAAAAACAAATTTTAAATTTACGGGTCATTTTGACACCTTGGACAATCATTTAACGGATTAATTCATTTGTTTTTGCATGTTAAAATTAATCATCAACCTAGTCACCTAGTTTGGCCACGAATTTTAACTAGGCACTATACTTTTTCTACGGCAAATATTATAAAAAACAATTTATTCCTAATAAATAATTTAAATATTTGTATAGACCGATCTATAGGAAAATAGAGTAACCAAATTAATTTTAGGAATCTGCTTTACCGGCTTTTCAAATAGCAGTGTGTCAAATTTTTCCTTAAAGTTGAAATTTCACCCTGAAAAATGGAGTTGCAACCTTCCAACCATAAAACGATTTAATAATTTTATATTTTTGTATGAAGATAATACAATAATTTTCACTTTTACTATGATTTCACAAGAATTTTGACAATTTTATGACATTTGACAACTGTCAACTAACTTAAAGCTAACTTCAGCCCGTTTGACAGATGTCAGATTGGTATTCATCAGAACTTTTGGACGATAAATAATTTAATTCGACTAAATTCCTTGCCAAAATCAATGTGCATTGAACAGGATAAAATGTTTTATTTAATTAAAATTTAACATGCGTGTTGGAGCAATTCGAATTGATTTTGTCGGCTTTAAAACTTTTTGAGGTTGATTTTGGAGCTGAAATCATTTAATTTAATCGTTATACAAACAAACACACCTGCTATAATTAAATTATTACCATTATTGTTGTGAAATAACCTTGTAATTATTTAGAAACTCTATAATTATCTAGATTACAAATGAAAATTCCCAATGGTAGTCAACAGGTAGTTAGGAATAACAAAAAATAAACATAACCTCATTATAACATTCTCAGAATTATTCACTTAAAAACTTACATGTGTTTTATTTCTGAATGGTCGTCGTTATCCTTCATGTTTCAAGTTTAATTTGGCACAAAAATCGTTTGAATATCACAAAGAAACCATAATTATTGCATTTTGTATTTCTCGCATAGATTAAGTTAGTGACTACACCCCACTACAAATTTTAGTGAGATGTATGGAAAATATATTGAGACACACAATGACTTGTGGTGAGACCTTCTTTATCTCTGAATTGTGGTGAGACAGGTAAAGTACTTGGCTACGTTGTCACGTTTATCAATTTTTCGTGAAATTGATATTAAAAGATTTATCGGGGTTTTCTGCGAATGTAAAGGAAGTGTGGTTTGTTTTATAATAACATTAAAAAACATGGGTATCGATTAATATATGGTTAGTTCTATTTTTATTAATAAAATGTGTTCAACTAAAAATTAAAAATATCAGTTTGGTATAAAAGTTAAATTTAATTTTTAAATATATTAGATAGATATATCTACTATGATTTTTTAATTCGCAGAATAAAAATACTTGTATGATATTTTTTATCTAATGAATATATAATTTTAGAATGGCACTTTTTAATCGTAAATGTTTTAAAAATTGTATTGTATTTTATTCCATTTTTTTTTCAGTTGTAATTTCTTATTTACGACACGACAATCATTTTTATTTTACAATTAATGTGTACAGCTGTACTAGTGTACACATTATTGAATTAATTTTATATGTACATATACAATTACTAACACATTTATGTATAAACATAAAAGTAATTTGGCGCTTTGGGAATGCGGCAGAAAGTGGCAACTGCAGTAGTTTAAATGCATATTGGGTATTAGATTTGAGTTTTGATCTTCTATTTAGGTATATATATAATTATAATTATTGAAATTATTAGTATGTAGGTACATTAGACTGGGCCAAAAAAATCGACTATTTTTTTTTTTGGAAAGTATATCGAAAATATTGTTTGGGGTGACAAAAAAAAATTATGGTGAAAGTTTGAGTTCATAATATTAATATTAAGAGGTCTATCATCGCAATTTTAGATTTTTTTTCCCTGAGCGAGTTTTTGTCTCAGAACTCCCATATTATTGAATTTAACAAAATTGACTTAAATGTATTTTTTGAAGAAAATTGAATGCTCTACAAAAAAGGTTTGATTGGAATTTTCCGACAGATGAACCCTTTTCTTACAATCATGCCTTAAAAATTGGTATAGTTTTACAATTTGATCTTTTAACTTTGGAATTTTGTAATTCAAGTAAAAATCAGTACCCTGAAAAAAAACGATAAATATTCTTATGGGAAATCAAATGGTCTACAAAAAAAATCTTTTATCATTTTTGGCTAAATTCACTCCAACAAAAGTTATTCAAGGTTAAATTTGAAGTCAAAACGAAATTTTAACCTTGAATAACTTTTGATTGAGTGAATTTAGCCAAAAATGTTAAGAGGCTTTTTTTGTAAAGCATTTGATTTCCTATAAGAATATTTATCGGGTTTTATGGGTACTGATTTTTACATGAATTACAAAATTCCAATTTAAAAGATCAAAATGTAAAACTATACCAATTTTTAAGGTATGATTTTAAGGAAACGGTTCATCTGACGGAAAATTTCATTTTAACCTTTTTTGTAGAGCATTTAATTTTCTTAAAAAAATATTTTCAAGTCAATTTTGTTAAACGAATTAATAAAAACGAGTGTCTAGAGAAGTTTATAAACGAGTTGCATACTATACTTTATCTACGACGAACACAAAACAGAATTTAAAGCCAATTTTATTTGTTAAAATTTTGACATCTGTCAACTGTCACCCGAATTTAACCTCACTTTTTCCCAATTTATAATAAAGCTAACTTCAGCCCGTGACGTAAAATGTCGAAAAGCCACTGTTCTGCCGTGCTTAATGAAAACGCCGTAACCAACAATAATTGTAAAACAAAAATCGCACAATTATTGTGCGATTTTTGTTTTACGGCATTTTCTACTAGAAAAATTCATCCTGCGTCTATCCCCGGTACTCAAAAAACCGTATCTATATATATATACGGTTTTTTGAGTACCGGGGATAGACACAGGATGAATTGTTCTAGTAGAAAATGCCGTAAAACAAAAATCGCAAAATTGTTGGTTACGGCGTTTTCATTAATCACGGCAGTGTTGTTAATTTCAGCCCGTCAATAAAACGCCATAAAGTTAAAGCTCGTCAATGTAGGAGTAGATAAAATTTATTTTAATATTTTTATTATACAGACTGTATAGAATCAAGTAAGTAAGGCTGGAGACAAGGGTGACAAATTATATTCTGATCAGAGAAAAAGAAACAAACTTTAATTGGGCGTGGTTTAAACCAATCCATTCGTAATTACGAACCAGGTTGTTTTAAATCAGAAGAGAACGATTATAATATTTAATAAATAGTTCAATTTTATTTGTTTGAAACAAAAAAATTAATAATATGTCAAAAATAATTTGATTTAGTTAATTTTCTTACTTTTAATATTAAAAAATTAGAAAAGCAACCCTTTTAGGAAACAATAATAGCATATGGCAACAGCGCGGCATGCAGCCAGATACAAGGGCATGCAGTTTCATCTACTGTGTTCAGTAGCTCCGACGCTGTCGTAGGGAAATGTGTGTAGTTTTTAAAAAATACATTTTCGCCATTTACTGGAATTTAATGGATTTTAAATAATACTTAGTTTTTATTTGCAGAATTGCATTAAAACAAAACAAAAGAATTCGATAAAAATAAAACCTATAAATTCTCAAACAAAAATAATTCTAAAATAACGAAAATAACTTTTTTCTAAATTCAATGCCTACCACAGTGGGCGGGGTTTGGCACTTGTTCTATTTAAGTGTATCTATTCGTTTTAATACACACTGTATACTTAATCGACGTATAATTGTGTGGAATAACCCATATGCATCATGAATTTATAAATTATATTTAATAGACGAATTATTATGCACATTTCAAAGTACAGTCATGCAATGTCAAATCGATTAAAATTCACTCACCACAGTTGAAGGGTGGCTTGCGGCCTCCTGGCCGCCTGTTGGCAGCACTGCTGGTCGCACTGGGCGCCGACGGGCGGCGGCGTGGCGCACACGTGGCGCCCGCCCGCCCCGCCCACGTACTCCACGCTGGGCGACGAGCAGACGCCGTGTCTGCACGTCTTGCGCATACTCGGCGACACTATGACGCACTGCGTGGACTTCTCCTCCTGGTGGGTCGCTATTTGGCACTGGGATTCTTTCTGGCTCGTCACGGAGCTGGAGGATGACGAGCCTGGGCTGGATTTTGAGAGCTGGTACCCTTCCTGGTACCCGCAGCACTTTACTTGGCGGTTGGGCGTGCCCACGTACCGCAAGCGCTGGTACTGGGTCGGGTTGTACGGCAAGGGGAGTCTGTAGTGGAACGCCAGGTCTCTCCTCATGTAGGGGTCGCTGGAAGAGGGGTTGTACTTGTAGCGGTCGTGTTGGTACTGCTGGTAGTACTCCTGGGGTTGCGGGACGTACCTCTCGACGGGCGTGTGCGCGTTGGGCGGTATGTAGCGCTCCCCAGCGCTGTAAGGGTTGTAGTACTTCCTGTCTATGTGGTACCTCTGCTGAGGTAGCTTCTCGGTGGGCGAGGGAGACAGAGGCGGGGGCGGTATGAACCTCTCGGGGAGGGCGGTGGTGGGCGAGGGGAAGGCGTTGTTGACGTAGCAGTCGGGACTGGGGGTGTTTTCGGGGGACAGCGGCGGAGGGGGGATGAACCTGTCGCTGGCCGGCGCGGGAGAGGGGGGTTCCAGGTACTGCACCTGCTGCGCGTACTGGATGCGCTCGGGTTGGGTCGCGAAGCGCTCTGGGCAAGGTATGGGCGGGAAGCGGTCGTACTGGTACTGCTGCTGCTGCTGCTGCTTCGGTCTGATCTTCGGGTTGCTTCTGCGTTCGGTGGGCGTGTAGCGGTCCTCGTTGTAGCGGTCCTTTTCCGCTGTGAGGGTGTGGTAGCGGTCGGTGGGGGTGCTGGTGCGCGAGTATCTGTCGAGGGTGCCCCCTCCGTGGTGGTACCTGTCGAGGCTGCCGACGTTTTGCACCGGGGTGCAGCGCTCCGGGTACCTGGGGCAGCTGATCCTTTCATTGTATTGGTACCTGAAAAGATCGAACCTCCTAAGAACACTTCAACCGCGACTTATTTTCTTTAGTAAAACGTTAAATCTTGTTTAAAAAAAAAACTTTAAACTCTAAAAAAAACTTACTCTCTTTTCAATTTAGAGTTTTTCTAGAGCAGTTAATTTAGAGAAATTATTTCCAAGTAATTATATAACTTTTGAGTCATTCCATAAATTTTCATAAAATTACTGAAAATGGACATTTCCTGTTTGAACCTGAACAATTGTTTTAAAGTTTTAGAATTTATTGATCAATGCTTACGATATAATTGTTTTGGCGACGTCACAGCTAGCAACAGCGTGCCCTTTTGTAAAAAATTTAAGGTTGCATTTATATAAATATTGATATTTAATTGGAGAATTGAAAACTGCCCTTACATTTAGCGTAAATTAATTGTAATTGCCCGAATTCGATTACAAAAATTGGATAATTGAAAACTGCCCTGAAATGATAAATTAAAAAAATACGAGTGGCATAAATTTAAAAAATAGTAGGACAAATTCGCACAATTTGCATCATAAAAAAGTCACACAGTGGCATAGATTAAAAAAAATATATATTTTTAATTTTCAAAAAAGGTACCCAACAATTATCAACATGAAATTTTTTTTTTTAATTTTCAAAATTCCCAAAATGAATAATTTAAAAATTTTCCAAGATTTTCAATTATTATTTAAAAATAAAAAATTGTGTACAAAATTCGCATAAGCATAAAACTAAAAAGGTACGACAAATTCGCACAGTGGCATACATTTAAATTTTAAAGTTTTAAAATTTTCAAAATATCAAAAAAATTTCAAGATTTTGAAAATACCTAAAAAAAATTAAATTTATTTCTACAATTTCTAAAATCACAAAATGTCCACAATTTTTAATATTTAAAATTAATAAATAGAGGAAGAAATTCACACATTTCCAAATTGCACAGTGGCATAAATTTAAAAAAAAAATTAATTTTTTTTTTTAAATTTCCAACAATTTTCATAACTTCTTAAATTTTCAAAATTCCTAACAAACTTTTTAAATTTTTAATATCCAAAGTTAAGAAATGGTGGAAAAACTTCACACAAGGGGATAAATTTAAAACAGTGGCATAAATTTAAAAAATCGTATTTGCACAGTCGAATACATTTAAAAAAATGTTAGGACAAATTCGCACAGTGGTAGAAATTTAAAAAATGGTAGGACAAATTCGCAGTGGAATAAATTTACAAAATTCCAACAGTTTTAAAATATTCATCAAATTTAAAATTTTTGTGATTAGTAAAAAAATCAAAAATTATCTTAATTTCTAAAAACTTAAAATTTTTTGAAATTTCCAACAATATTAAAATTTTTATAATTTCTTAAGTTTTTAAGATTCCTAAAAAATTAATAATGTACAAAATTTTTTTAATATCCAAAATTAAGAAATGGTGGATAAAAATCACAATTGTCCTACCATTTTTTTAAATGTGTTCGACTGTGCAAATACGATTTTTTTAAATTTATGCCTCTGTGCGAATTTGTCGAACAGTTTTTAATTTATCCTACTTTAAAGTAGGATAAATTAAAAACTGTTCGACAAATTCGCACAGAGGCATAAATTTAAAAAAATCGTATTTGCACAGTCGAACACATTTAAAAAAATGGTAGGACAAAATCGAACATTGGTATAAATTTTAAAAAATTCCAAAATATTTAAATTTTCCAACAATTTTAAAATATCTGACTGTAGCGAGTGCGGCTCTGGATATCGGAATGATGACTCATCGGCGTGAGTCAGCGCTCGAACAATCGAGAGTGTGGAGCTCGCTGGAATGTTCCAGAAGACTTGGGCGTCAGTCAAGTTTTGGTACTCGCGTCGAAATATAGTTTCTTAGTGTTTTAAGTGTAATTAAGTTATAAAATAAGTACCGTAAACACGGGTGGCTTTGGCTCACTTTCAAACTTCAGCTTAAAATTTTTGTGGTTTTAACAATCATAAACATTAAATTTTGTATACAAAAATTTGAGTCTTGAGTTGCTCTTTCATAATAACTATGTTATAATATTACATAGGGCTGAGTTTCAAAAATAAACATTAAAAACTGGGTGTGCAAAGTTACCCCCTGGTTGCGGGTTACTTTGTCTCACAGTGTTTTTTCAGTATAAAATGAATGTAATATTATATTTTATTTTTATTAGACACGTGTTAGCAGCGACATATATCTATTGCAAGGGATTACCAATAAAAAAAATAAAAAATCGACCTGTAGTTAACCAAGGATCATCATTCCAATGGATTGCGCATAATATAGAAATTGTAACGCGTGTATTTCTAGAGTTTTGCACTGGTACGATATATACAATTTTAAAGTGTAATAAATCCCATTTCTTTCTTTAAAACACTGATTTTCCTGTAATATAAACTCAATAGAATCGCTCAATTGACAGGTTTAGACCAACAAATTATAAATGTTAATTTTATCGAGCGCGAGAAGATTTTTCATAAATGGGTTAAAGTCACCCGCGGGGTGCAAAGTCACCCGTATTTACGGTAGTTTAATTCGTTAATAAACCAGTGCGTGTTTTAATTCACACTACGGACAGTAAAAACGTTACAATACACTTTTGGTGCAAACAAATATAAAAAGTCGTAAATTGGATCCCTCACCTCTCCTTGTCGCTCGGGCAGAGCCCCTCTTTCGAGACGAGCCTCTCGCTGGAGACGGAGGTCTGCGGTCTGTCCCCAAGAGGGTACCTCTCCGACACGCCCTGGTACCTCTCGCCCGACGGCAGCCGCTCCGAGCTGCTGCGCTCGGAGCCGAAGCGCTCCGACGCGAACCGATCGTCGTACCTTTCCGCCGCGAGACGACGATGGTCTGCAGGTGAAGGTATGCAACCAGCAGAACACTGAACGGGCACCGGCGACGCATTCTGCTGCTGCTGACTCTGCTGCTGCTGCTGCTGCTGCTGGTTTTGCTGCTGATTTGTTGATGGTTGCTGCTGCTGCTGCTGCTGCTGATGTGGGATCTGTCTTCGTCCATAGTCTTCGTCTGCAGGCATTCTGGTGGCCCTGGGCCCGTTGTCAAGACATTTGAAACTAAAAGTAGAAAAGGTTCTATAATGAGCCAAGCAACAATTTAAGTATTTGTTACGTTCAGAGTAAAACCGAATATAGGAAAACGTTTTGGGCGTGGCCTCGCCTCCCTCCAACGCGCGACACAGGAGCTAAGCAAATAGCCTGAATCGCTAATGAGATTTTTTGCATTATTATCATTTAATTTTTAAGGTCGTCTTACCTGCTCGACCTTTCGTCATGTCGTTTATCAAGCTACACGCCCAAAACGTTTTCCTATATTCGGTTTTACTCTGAACGGGCTGTAAATGGGACTATTGAAGAAACTTTAAAGCCGGGTCTACAATTGTCGCAGGTCGCAGATCGCAGAACATAAGCTTGCGCAAAGCACCCAGCTGACAAAAGAACCTTGCTTTATCGCCACGTCGCAGGGTGCTTTGCGCAAGCTTCCCCAGTAGCACAAAATATTGGTCCTATATGGGGCGCATATATGCCCAATATTTTATCTGAGACCAATATTGGATTTATTTAGCCGATGTTGGCCCTATATTGGCATAAAATGGTTATTTAATATATCTTGCCAATGTTTATCCAATGTTGGTCCTATATTGGCATATCATTTTACGCCAATATATCATTAAACATATTTATCCAAGATCGGTCCAATATTGGCATATCATTTTAAGCCAATATATCATTAAAAATATTTATCCAAGGTTGGTCCTATATTGGCATATCATTTTACGCCAATATATCATTAAAAATATTTATTTAAGGTTGGCCCTATATTGGCGTAACATGATTATCCAATATATCATAGTATCAATGTTGGGTTTCAATATTGGACCAAGCTAGAAAAAATCTGACGAAAGATATGTTGGCCCAATATATAAAACGAATATTGGGCCAATATCTTTGTGCTACTGGGGTTATGTTCTGCGATCTGCGACCTGCGACAATTGTAGACTCGGCTTAAAGTGTTTTGCGACAGTCGCCGGTCTCTTTATATTACTCTTTCATTACTAAGTGGGGAACAATAATTGTTAATTGTTAATAATTATTATTGAGTTCCAAAAAGGTAGCAAATATGTCACTAGCTAGCTATAAACCCTGCTACTATTTGGAACGTAGCTGCTACGTTACTAGAACGTTCCAATATCGTTGCTAGAGCGTTATAATTACTTTTATTTATTTGTTTTTACTTCTATATTAATTGTCTTTGTCAAACTAATATTAGATTATACTATCCCTTCTTTTTTAAATGAAACCACTACGGACTTGGCTTTTCAATGTCGTCGTTTATTAAATATGTACTGGTAGTTTATAACTTCCAGAATAACAAAATAATGTTTAATTAGACAGGTAAATTTATAAACCCTTTAAATTTTACTGTTGAATTTTTCGTAAAATAAATGCGCTTCATCAATATTTAAGTATAAACAAATTATTTATTTAGTAATGTTTATAAATAAAAAACTCTTAATATTTATTATTAATTTTTTATTTAATTATAATACCGTCTATTATCAACAAAATTACTATTTATTAAAAAGTAAACAAGCATTTACAAACAATTTATTATTTACATTACCGCGTGGTACTGTACAGTAAAAAATGGCCGATAAGAAGCATTTTCCTTTGAAGTAGTTTTCGTAATAAAAAAATCAATTTTGTTCGATTTTTCATCTTATACGATTCTGCAATAATTTTTCTGTAAAAATATCACTTTTTTGGTAATAATTATAAGATATATCTTATTAAATTAAATCTGATTTTTTTAAGTACCCACGATTTTTCAACTAATATTTAAGTTTCCTTTGGTTTAAGTTTTATACATTATTTCATTCGGTGATAATTATCAATTGCGCACCATGGTCACTTTTTAACTGCCAGCATTAAATCCTTTAATTTAAAGGATTATTGTACTATTTTTAATAAAAATACCTCATTTAAGCTAAAAAAACATTATTTTGTCAATTTATTTAATCCTAATTGAGGTATAAAATAATAATAATTATTATTGAGGTATAAAGAAACTATTTATACACAGTTTAGCATTATTTAATCAATTTGGTTCGAAGATTAATTTGCAAACAAAAAGACCTACTTTTGTTAAGCAGTTATTCATAATGAATTTTTTAACAGTGGGAGAAAAAATAGAAATGATTTTGATGCTGTTAATATCTACGCTCAGCGTTTTCCGGAAAAAATTCGATCACGTACTTCATTTCACCGTACAGTCAAGCAGTTTACTGCAAATAGGAGTGTTCAACCGAAAAAAAGAGTTCGTCGAGCAACAGTCACAGGTGGAAATAATGAAATTAAGCAACGGCCGCTAATCCTCATCTAGAGTTTTGGGAATATCCCAGAGCAGTGTTAGCAGAATATTAAAACGAAATAAATAAATAAATTTAAAAAATAAAACCAAGTATTTTATTCAAAAATTATTGTACAATCGTATAAGAAGAAAAATCGAACAAAATTGATTTTTTTCACATACTGTGGAAGTTTGTTGTTTTTTTCTTTACAGCGCAATCTATTACAAATATGAAAAAATGTTTTAGACAAAATATACCTATTTTTAGTCGAATGATCCCATTAACTTGATACTGAACATTGCCATATATGGGTCTTTTGTGGTAAAATATACAAATATTAGCCTAAAAATGGCCATTACTAGACCTTTTATCAAAATTAGTATTTTTAGTAAAACATTCCTGTAAAAGACAAGAAAAAATGGAGCCATTATTAAGCCATAACACTATATAATGGGCCATTACATAATCAGACTTATGTGTTTGCTGGGGGTATTAACAAAGCCTTAAAATTTCATCGAAATCCTTTGTTAAATAACAAAGTTAACAAAGCAAATATAACCATTAAATATCAAATTAAAGAATTTTTTTGTCGTAAAACACAAAATAATTCTAACAAAAGTATAACACAGTTCAAAACGATTTTAGCCATTCTTATTATTTTAACCTAAACAGATTTTTAATTCTCTATTTTGTTATGTATCATTCTTCAAATATTTTATGTTCTTAAATAATACAAAAGTTATACTTAACAATTTTAATAAAAAAAAAATATGTCTGGTTTTAATTTTAGATTTTTTTTTCATAAAAAACATATTTGTATTTAGGTATCATATATATTAAATATATGTTGGAAACAAATCTTTATCTTTTGTTTGACGATTATACATATGTATATTGTTTTAGAATCTATAGGGAGATCACAACCTAAAAACACAACTGGATATAGGGTGTTTCACAGTCGTGGTCCATTGGAAGTTTCTAGAGAACGGAAAAAAATATCGATTTGAAATTTAAAAGCGTTTAAGTCTATTTTTTTTTAATATTTTGAACAAAATGCCACTTCCGGTTTGACCGGAACTTTGTTATTTCAAATAGAACATCCCATATATTTTTACATTTTTAAATTCTACATAAAATTCTGAGTAAAATTAATATACCATTTCCTATCCCTAAAGTAAATGGTTTTCGAGATCCCTATACCTAAAGTTAATAATTTCAGAGATATTAATCAATCGAAATGTTTTTAATTTTCTATTTGATTATGTAAAAACATACAGGGTGTTTCATTTAAAATAAAAAAGTTATTAACGTTTCAAGTTAGCCCTTGATTTTCTTGGGTAATTGGTTAAAAAATGTTAAAGAATTGGCATGGAATTTTTAAACAATGTTTTAAGATTCCAAAAATTTCACCCCCATTTCGGCAAACCTAATAGCAAAAAAGTTATAGGCTATTTTTGATTGACGCGCATTTTTCAAATTTTAACGAAAAAAATTAATAACTCGAAAACTATTCACTTTAGGTATAGAACATGGTACAGTAATTTTACTTAAAATTTTATGTAGAATCTAAAAATGTAAAAATATATGGGGTGTTCTATTTGAAATAACAAAGATGATGTCACTTCCGGTCAAACCGGAAGTGGAATTTTGTTTAAAATGTTTTAGAAAAATAGTCTAGCTGTTATCGAAGCTGTTATATTATGTGCCGAATACCGTGGATAATATTTTATTGAATCGCACTTAAAAAAAAATGACGTGATCTAAAAAAACGCTGAGATAAAATTTTTGTCGTACTGTATATTTCGGAGCATACCACATTTGTTTCCGTCTCTGTAAACCTCTACCTTAATTTTAACATTAAAATTGATTTTGGCTTATTTGGTTACGAGATTTATTTGACTATTCATCACCATTAAACAATGAATTTTCGAAACAAATCCATAAAATAGGATAATTTGGGAAATTAATTAGAACAAAACACCATCAATATTCCGATAATTGCCCGAAAAATCTCATCCCCAAACGAAAATCGCCTTTTGTTTCCCCATAAAAGTATGATTATTATTTTTGATGAGATCTAATAAAATTTCGCTGTATTTAACAGCGAGTTTGATATGGAAACGCCAGCCGTATCCAGTCGGCCGAGTAATTCGACAAAAGTTTTTCGATACGCCGCGTTTCCAAAGTAACAAATGGCCGAGCGCGCTCCATTATCGATCAGCTGTACACAGCTGCACAGTGCCGGCGCAGCTAATTCACTCTCCACCGACAATTTAACCGTTTATAAAAACAAATTACCCGATCTGGCAACGTTGCGATCGCCAATTTTACGTCTAGTTGTGTAGAGTTGAAATGAGCGTGCTTGTGTTAGTAAAAACATCAGAATATTAAAAATCGCAATTTTAACTACTTAAAGTAAAGAATTTTATCAAAATCGGATTCAGCGACCTTGATTTACTATAAAACGAGTGGTCACTCGGATATCCGGAAACCAAAATTATCCCAAGGCCTTTTGGGTCAAAATTGTTGTCAAAATCTGATTCAGGGACCCAAAATTACCATAAAATGAGTGGCCACTCGAGTAATCAGAAACCAACATTTCCCAAAGGCCCTTTAGGTCAAAATTTTTGTCAAAATCTGATTCACCGACCTCAATAGTAAAATAAAAC